TCAAAATCAAACTCTTATTTCTACTTGAAACTAAATTTCTTCAAAATCAAAGCTACTTATATTGGATTTCTAGGTGCCTGCATGCTAGGCTGGAAAAAAATGATTCTATCTTCCATTAAAAAAATTTGATACAGGCCTTTTGGATCTGAAAATAATTTTCAGCTCTCATTTTAGATAAGTAGCTATCTGTTAAGAAAAGACTCGGGTTCATGAACTCCCAGGCTTTCAACACCAACAGTGATGTTTTGTACTCTGTATACAATCAGATAATCCTAAAAGAAGCAGGATAGTTATTTGTAATTTCTGAGAATTTATTTGATATATGTAGAAAGCTGATCTCTGTACTGTGTGCTTTAGCCTTGCAGAAGGAAATGGGTCCTGATGGTAACGTTGGAGTGGACCTAGGCAGAGAGGCAGTGGCTCCACTCTCAGTAGCTTCCCAGTGAGTTGTGTGAATGGATAACAATGTGGGCCACAGCTGAGAGGAAACAAAAACGATCTGATTTGTATTATTGTCTCTTGCTTTATAAAGGGTAGCAAACTTCCTTTCACCTAGGAAAGCCATTTTTTGTTGTGCTTTGTACGTACTTGTTCAGCTATCCTGAGGAATGATCCCATTTGAAGAGGACAAGGAAACATGCATGCACATAAGTGCCATTTAACTCACCGTTGTTTTTTTAACTCAACTCACGTTGTTTCCCCCCCAACCACTTTACTTAGAGGCAGAAGAGGATATTTCATTTAGGTATACTGTTGTAGGGCGATTACAACTTGATTTTGATGGATCCTCTATCTTAACCATGGTGATAATGAAATATGGAAGGTTGTGGCAGGTCTTTGAGTGCAAGGTTCTTTGCTTGGGCCTCTGACGGAGAGAAAGGAGTTAAAACAGCTGATTTTGGGGGGGTCCTCCCTGGCTAGGCCAAATCTAGCATGGGTTGGATTCTGTGACTTACAATAACCTCTCCAGCTCTATGTTTAGAATGAAGGTTGAAATAGATTTGCTTCAAGGTTAAGAAGCACCTTGCAAAAAGATTAAAGAATATCACTGGATGGTGGTCTTACTCTGCTTGGCATGGAGTGCAGAATATCCGGTAGGATCAAAAAAGCTGCTTAAGCTCATAAAATTGATTTGCATCTTTTTAAAACGGCTGACTCTTCATTTTGAAAGCCTCCTTACTTTCAAATGCAGTTTATTATTCAGCAAGAGTGGCTGTTGTTCAAGACAATGTAAATCCCTTTGGAGTCAAGTAATATTGGATTCGGTTTGAGACTGTTAGTATCCCAACAAAATATTGATTTGCTGCCATTAGAATTCCAACCTCCAGCTTATAAGCATTCTTCTAGTCGTCCTCCTCATGTAGAAAAATGAGAAATTTAGGATGATCAGATGGAATTCAGTAGGAGTCATGCATTAGTTCTTAAGTGTAGACTGGTTTAATGTGCATAAATTATGGCAGACATTCTTTCTGCTTCTGTTTCAGAATTATGATGCAGACTTCCAGACTTTCTTGTTTGTGATTTTGGGGAAATACTTACTAGTCACAGCATTTATACCCCTTTCTTGAGAAATAATGGCTTAAGAGTAAGTAATAAAAACAACACAGTCCCTAACTTCAGGCTTAGAATCTGAAAAGATGTGACACAAAAGAATAAAGTGATGGAGAGGGAAGAGAAAAATGACATCAGGCTCCTGATAAAAAGTTCTTGCAATGACCAGCTTGAAGGGAAACGAGCTGCTTATAGTCAAAAACAAATTAGGTCTTAATGAGTCACACCATCTTGGAAGTGACTGTAATGCAGACAGAAGTTGTTGACTTTACAACCACCTTCCCTGACAGATGTTGCCTGGGGCTGATAGGAGTTGCAGTCTAAAACATCTGAAGGGCACTGTGTTGGGAAAGGCTCCCTTACAGGGTGGGGCCTCTTCAGCCTAGCTCGCATAGGCCGGTGACTTATTCCTCCCACTGCTGCAGGTAGGTTCTCAGGGGCCCAGTTGATACCATCATCCTCACAGCAGATAGTTGCTGTTCTTATAGGCAGTTGGTTCCAAAATCCTGGGGAGGGACCACCTGACCTGGCCCAGGTAGTGAAAGCAATGAGTGGATATGGTAGATCCTTCTGGCGGTTCTTTTAAAACAGGGAGGCTACAAATGGTATCTGGTAGGAGTTTGTTTTTAATGCACTTTGACCTCTTTTCCTGGATCTAATTTATTTTGATTGCCATTGTAGCTTTGGTTGCTACTAGTGACTTGTGGCATGCAGAACTTCTTGTCAGAGTACATACATAACAACCAGGCAGTGCTTCTGGCACTGTGCAGGATGACGACACTGCTGTTTACACAGCAGCAACACCTGCAGTACTTGGATTCCTTCTAAGATCATAGAGGCAGCTCTTTGTCGGAATGGCACATCTGTCCTCGCTGAGAACTGCAGCAGCGGAATGATGCCAGTTGAGAGAAGAGGCACTGTGTGTGTGTGTGTCTGTGAGGTCAACAACAACAAATAATATTCTGTATGACTCCTAAAATAAGAGTCTCCAAAGTAGTGCCAATGAGAACTCTAATGAAGTTAGCATCTGTAAAAGAATGCTAAAATTCTTGAGCTGAATTGCTTTCTTTGTGCAAAATTCCAGGAAAAATCTCAAGTGTTTCATATTTACCAACTCTAGTTTGATAGCCAAGTTTTATGAAAAACTATGTAGATACAGTAAGCATGCAACTTACTGGCATTTAACTTGTGCGCATGCAGCTTCATGTGCTTGGTAATTTAAAAGGGGGGGCAGGTGCCTGCAGAAAAAAGACTTTGGCAATCCCACATGCTATTGAACCCAATGTGTTTTGACTACAGTGGTACCTCGGGTTAAGTACTTAATTCGTTCTGGAGGTCTGTTCTTAACCTGAAACTGTTCTTAACCTGAAGCACCACTTTAGGGCCTTCTGCTGCTGCTGCGCCGCCGGAGCACAATTTCTGTTCTCATCCTGAAGCAATGTTCTTAACCTGAAGCACTATTTCTGGGTTACTGGAGTCTGTAACCTGAAGCGTATGTAACCTGAGGTACCACTGTATATGCAATTTTGGCTTTAGGCGAGATCCTGGAATGTAAGCCCCGCGTAAGTTGTGGGCTTACTTCACAAGCTGACTATATACTTAAAACAGGATGCACGAAGTATCTCAAGTTGATATTGAGCAGCTCTTCCTTCCTCATTGATCATTTTAAAAATAGCATTTAGGCAGAGCTTTAGGTGGGTCAGTATTATCCTAATGCATATGGGGTAAGTAAAGCCATCTAGTGAGCTCATGGCAAAGTTAACACTTTGTGTAGATACTTACGGTTGTGTTTTCTTTTTTTCAAAAATCATTTTGTTGTGCTGTTGCTTGAATATTGCTATGCATTAAACCAGTGGTTTTTTCTGGGGGTACACAGGGGTATGCATACCCCTAAACATTTTGTCAATCTAAGTTTGGCCTCATTGAGGGGCAGTGTTTCAATATGAGTAGGAAAATGAGAGTACCCCTAAACATTTTTTTAAAGCAAAAAAGCACTGCATTAAACTCTTCTCCCCAAAATGCCACCTTTATACCACCAAGGAAAGTTGGTATGGACTAGTTTCATTGAGGTGTGTAGTAAACCTGTGTCTTGAGTTGTACCACTTCAGTCTGGTGTTTTAAACTCTTTGCTGCACTTGATCACCTGAAAATAGTTGATGATCACAATTCTCTCTTTAAATGTTTCATTTATAGTTGTTTTTGTAGGACTGGCCTTGGAGAGGTTCTATGGATTGAGTGTGTGGCAGTTTGGCAAAGTAACCCTGCCATTCTGGTGTCATCAAGGCTTCAGATTTCGTAGGAGAGACAGTGACGACATAAAAAAATAATGTAAAAGTAATCTAGTCCAACCCCCTGCAATACAGGAATCTTTTTTTACCCACAGAGGGTTGAATCCATGGCCCTGAGATTGAGTCTTATGCTCTATTGATTGAGCTGTCCTGTCTGTACCCCATAAAGAAGTGGAGAAGTGTTCAATCATAGCCGTTAACTCTGAGTACAGAAAGAAATGACTTGAGTTCTTGGGTCACTATGGTACTCTGTAACCTGCCTGTTAATTTTTTGCATGTTGAATGTAGTAGTAATGTTATTGGACTATTGTCTGTAGTTCACTGGGTTTTGGCTGCTCCCTAATTTGTATTGAATCGTATTAGTGGTGTCAATACCGTTTTCAGTTTTAAAAATATTTTAAGAGGAAGAGAGAACATTTTTATGCTATAGGACTGACTGTTTTTACAGTTGTTTCTTCTTCTTGGAGACCCCTGCCTGGAACTGATGTTCTGTGGGAAGGGAACTAAGGGTCTCTAGCAAACTAATTTGCACCTCATCAAGTGATTAAACCAGTACAAAGCCAATACAAAGTTTGGCATGTGTCCACAAACTGAGAGAAAGAAAGAGGATGAGGAGCAAGGTGGGCACCTGTAGTAAAAATAAAACAAAATAGTGAATTTCATATGGCAGGATGGAGCTAAAGGTTGGTCCCCATTTTAAAGGCCGACCCTAGTGGAATTACAAAAGTATTTATTACATTTTCTGCACTCTGCATAGTTGTTGCTTTTCTCTTTGTTACAATGGATGACCAAATTATATGCAACCCTTAATTTTCCCAGCTTCTACCAACAAGACTTACTTTTCTGCCCCGGTATAGAATCAGCCCCTGTTTAATGTGTTTGAACTTACTGTTTTTTCTGTGTTAGATGCTTTTATGTTTTATTAGCTATGTTTTATTAGCTGTGTGTTAGATGCTTTTATGTTTTATTAGCTATAGGCTGTACTTGTCTTTTAATAGAATATTGTACACTGCATAAGAGTTTTTTTAAAAAACTTATTAAGCAGTTTATAAATGTTTTCAACAAATAAATAAAAATAACATTTGTCTAATGAGTAGTCAGTACTTCAGTGTTGCCGAAGTTGTTCATAGCAATAATTGCACAAACTCTTGCATTTTCTAGATGGAATGAATCTTCCTTGTTGAATGCATCCGGTCTGCTTGGTAGAGTTTACTTGTGGAGACACATTGTCCTTTGGGTTGAAGCCACTTTGTGGCAGACTGAATTGTGGATCCCAGAATCCCAAGCTGCTTGACGAGGAGGAGACAGCTGAATCACGTTAACTTGACATCACAGCCACAATGGTGCTGTCACAGAGGCAACGAGATGAACTGTAAGTAGCTCAAAAATATTAATCTTACCTTGCTTTCAGTTGGCTGTTATGGATCGGAATCGATCATGTTTTCTTAACCAATTTTAAAGCTTTCTGTGGGCATCTTAATAAGAATGCACTAGACATTAGTTTTTAAAAAATAATTAAAAAAATAGATCTGGCCACAAAGCAAGAATGAAGAAATGGGTTTAGTAATTTTGTGGGATCCTCCAAATTCTGGAGCTAAGCAGTGTGCTGGCCATGATGTTAATTTGTTTTTTTGAGAGATGGGTGGGAATAGGATGGAATTTGTATTCTGAAAAAAAAAAATCTTCCTACTCAACTTGGCAGGCTTTGTAAGCACATGTCTGATATGCTTCTGTTAACTTTGAAGCTGTGGTTGTGGGCTGTTCCACAGTTGATGCCATGGGATATCAGGAGTGGGACAGGTGGGAATGGCTTGGGAGAAACTGCCTTGCAGGCCAAATTGGAACCCAGTTACCTCACATTCTGGAGGTTCCTTACTCATGCTACAGAAGGTCCTTACAAGAAATCGGTGGCAAGCCCAGTTCTTTTCAGGTTTATTTTTACTGCTCAGAGGGCTGTCTTTGCCAAGTCTTCAATCTGGACTGAGCATTTTGTTCCTCCTGCTGCTGTTCTAATGATTGTTGATGCTGTTAATATGTATTAGGATGAAATTTTTGTTTTATTGTAGACCATCCTTAGTGCCCTTGATTGGTTGGTCATACATTCTTTATAAAAAGAAACACAGACCTGTCAGAAACCTATACAGTTAAGCCTGAGTACATTCCTGACTCCCTGCTTTTCTTCCCTATCTGCCTGTCATTTGCTCCAGGTTTTTTATATTGTGAGATTGTGGTCTGGAACATGAGTGTTTTGCTTGTACAATATCTAATATGTTTTTATTTCTAAATATTTTTACCCCACACTTCAGCTATAGTGATAGGACTGTTTACAAAATTAATTGTTTTATTCTAACTCAGGCATAGGCAAACTCAGCCCTCCAGATGTTTTGGGACTACAACTCCCATCAAACCTAGCTAACAGAACCAGTGGTCAGGGATGATGGGAGTTGTAGTCCCAAAACATCTGGAGGGCCACGTTTGCCTATGCCTGTTCTAACTTGAATACCAAATTTATCTTAAAAGCTTCAAAGTTATAAATGCAGGATTAAAATGACATCTAAAATGCACAGGAAAGTAAGAAGGTCTTTCTTTACTTGCTGCTGAAAGGACAGTAAGAAAGGTGCCAGGTGGAACTTCTGTGGAGAGTGTACAGGGGTGCCACTACTGGAAAGACCTTGGGTGGGGAAAGCACCTGTTAGATAATATATGGAGGGAGATGTTTCTTAACGTTCCCAGTCCTGACCTGCGAAGGGCTTTACAGGTCAAAACCAGCTCTTCTCAGTTGGGCCTGAAAATGGGTAGGAACTGTTACAGTTTTCAAAGTACGTATGGCTATAATATACCCAGTCCCAGTCTGCAGAATATGGTTTCTATATTGCTAACAAAAGTTTGTGATAAGAATAAATAATTGTAATGCTCTCTTGAGGAAGAGTTTATTTTCCGTAAATGTACATCTATTGCAGTTGCTGGTGCACATTTTTCTGTATTTGGGAGGTTTTGGGCAGAGTTGGCTTGCATATTCCAAGGAGAGCATTTAGTGAGTAGAATATGTTTGAGTTCTATTAACTGAATAAGCAAGATAAGGATTCACTGAGGCTGAGAGCACTTGCTGACAAAGGGCACTGCTTTTCTCTTTCTGCATGAGTTGGGCGGTAGACAAAATTATTTGATACTCCTGTTAAGATACTTACGGCGTTCCAAGAACTTAACACTGTATGTTAAGCAAACCTGTAATGCTGGCAAGGTGATCTTTCAGCAGTATTTGAACAGTTAACTGGTCCGTTAATTGCTAACTGATCTGCTGACAAATATTGTCCTGCTTCAGCCAGCCAAGTAAATGCCAGGTCCCTTTCATTTAGGCCACAGTCTACCTTGACTGTCCGAGCACCATCTGTTAGAACAAGGGTGTCTCTTTTGTCCTCATCACTGCAGGGGTCAATATCTGATGCTTGCACTGACATGCATGCTAATCTCTGGAGCATGTGCCAGCATTGTGATGTCTGCTGCTGTTAAATTGACTTCTTGCTTTGCTCATTCTTGGTCACATGGTAGCTCAAAAACAACTGCAAATGGTTGGAATAAAGACTGTGTGTTCTGAAGTTTTAACTGCAAAACATCTGCAAATAGGATGACAAATTATGTGACAAATGCTGAATTTATATCTCCACGATTGATTTCATTGATTAAAAACATTGTCTAGTAATGAGGAGGAGCAGAAAGCTATGCAGAGCCTGAAGCCTTGTACCCACACTTTCAACACTATCTCTGCAAGATTTTGTTTAAAAAGAGAAACAAAGTTCTGTGCCTTCCACAAATTAGTGTATTTTTACACCCACACCCACATACCTGTTTACAAGGGAAGGTGACTCCTAGCCTGCACAGTGCCTCTGATGACTACAGCATTTTATTGAAGGTGTGGTTGAATAGCCTGCCCACACTTTTGCTTGTAACAGAAACTAAAATTGTTTTCAGGAGTTGAACTGGAGTCATAGTCTACGCATGCAGGAGAATGAGGTGGGAGGAAATGCCACTTCTCATTGCTCTCCTGTGTGCTAAGTGTCTTCCAGGTAAAAGTTACCTGGGGTACTAGGGTACCAGGTACCAGGGATACCCTGTGGTATTAGTGTTTTGATTTCAGAGCATTTTTTAATACAGCGAAGCATTCAGAAATTGATCTGGCTGCAATCTGAAATGAAAATAGTCCATTCTGCCACTTCATTTTTGCTGCATGTCCAGGCATGCACAGGCAGGCATAACAGTTCGTTGCTGCATGTCTTTGGGCTGTGTTATGTTATCACAGTGTGTAAGTGCACGTGCTCCATAACTGCAGAACCCCTTACACTGCTCTTCCTGGGATTGGTGATGCTGTGTGTCAAGGTTAACTTCTGTTTCCTGGTCTTTCGTTTTAAGAAATAGTGATTGCCTCCAAGCCTTGCAGAATTTAGTCAACCCTGCTGTGAGCAGATACAGATATAAGGTGGGATTTATTAGACCAATTCAGCAATGAGCACACCTTAGGCAAGCAGCTCCCCCATAGGCTCTTATTCCCCTTCCTGCAATTTGGGATGAGAGATAACCAGCCTATAGAATAGTCCAGTATTTTAAGGAATACTTGAAAATGTCTGTAAAGTACTTCCAACGTTTGATTTTGGCCCTGTAAATCAGTGATGACCAAACTTGGCCCTCCAGCCGTTTTGGGACCACAATTCCCATCATCCCTGACCACTGGTCCTGTTTGGCAATCACCTCTGTAAATTAATATTATTATTCTAGCCCATGTCTGTCAACACTTGGCAATGAAAATGCCCCTGTAGACCAGCAACACCTGTGTGCAACTTGGTGATATAGCCAAAACAAGGACAACGAAGTCCCCAAAGTGACAGTCAAGGCTCCCTCATTTTTTAATTTTATTTTATTGAATGCATATCCCACCTTTTCTCCAAGGAGCTCAAGGTGGTATACACGGTTCTGGCACCCATTTAATCATCAAAACCAACCCTGTGAGGTGAAGTAAGCTAAGCTAAGAGGCAGTGACTGGTCCCCAAGGTCGCCAAGTGAACTTTGTGGCCAAGTGGGTATTTGAACCCTGATCTCCAAAATCCTAATTTGATACTCTAACCCACTACACCACACTGGCTCTCAGAGTTAACAAGTTGGCTTGTTAGCCATTTATATATTTGAGAGATTCATTTTGTTCTTGTTCCATCTGGTATGGGTGGGGCTGCCTCAAATTAGCAGGTGTGACGTTGCAGAGCAACAACAAACACAAGGAACTTGTGCATCTTGTTACTGCGCAGCAAGGGTGCATCTGAAGATGTCAGGCCAGTGCAGTGCAGGTTTTGCTGACATCCTCGTGTGCATGTTACTTGCATGACAGGAGGACAGAGCTGTGAAGATGCCATTAGATTAATGTTCCTCTAACTTGTATATGATAAGTGAGTTGGTGGTTTTTTTGCAAGTCTGTTGGCACCCTCCTATGAACCTAGTTCAGGGGTCAGCAGACTTTGTCAGCAGGGGGCCGGTCCACTGTCCTTCAGACGTTGTGGGGAGCTGGACTATATTTTGAAGAAGAAAAAATGAACTAATTCCTACGCCCCACAAATAACCCAGAGATGCATTTTAAATAATAGGGCGCATTCTACTTGTGTAAAAACACGCTGATTCCCGGACTGTCCGTGGGCCGGATTTAGAAGGCGATTAGGCCAGATCTGGCCCCCGGGCCTTAGTTTGCCTACCCATGACCTAGTCGTTATAGAAAGCAATAGTAAATGAGTAGTAGAAAGGCCAATACTCGTGTTGTTTTAAACCAGAGGTTGCTAACCTGTGGGCTTCTGGATGTTGTTGGACTCCCAACCTCCAGCAAGATATTGGGAATTGGGAGTCCAGCAACATATGAAGGGCCACAGTTTTCTTTCACCTGCTTTAAACCACAGCTTAGATTAGACTTATGCATCCTGTTAGATCTGAACCTGCCAAGCCAATGCAATGCAGTTCTTAAACTCTGAGTTGAAGTGAACCAGTAATGTTCTGGTGGTGCATGTTGTTCAATAGTCCCAGTGCTGCTGCTTCCCTGTTCTTTTCTTCAGTGCACCAGGGAGCAAACAAACCAGAGGCTGGCTTGATGCTAAAGTGTGAGTCAGCGCTCAGGGATTTTTCTCTCCTAACCATAATGTTAAACCAAGGTTTGTTCTTGGCTTGCTGTCATGGCTTGTTAGTAGTGCTGGTTCATGTCTAATGTCTCTGTGTTTTATTTCCTCCCTAGAAAACTGAAGAAAGGAGTGAAGCATGATTTGCTTGTTCATCTTAAAGCATAGTTTAAAATAAACTAAGGTTTAATGTGATTGTGAATTGGGACACACACACACACACACCTCCATCACAGGGAAAGCCCAAAATTTTCAGTCCCTGCGAATGAGTTATATTTGTTCCACTGAATAATTAAACTAAGGGCCTTCATTTATGGAGAGAGAGAGAGAGAGAGAAAGAAAGAAAGCATGAGCAATTTTTAAAAAAGTAAATAAAAGGGGAAAATCAATTGTAGCACAAATTGACTTTAAGAATGGGGATATTCTCATTCTCCCGTTGACATTTAGAGATGCAGATGTTTCATGATCTCTGCTCCTTCCAACAAGGAGCAGATTCTGGGCCAGAAGGCACTTCCTTCCAACAGTTATTGTACTGGGACCTCTGTAGTAAATAGTCTTAGGTTCCAGGTGGCCTTATCTCTGGTGATGCATGTTAGCTTTGTTTGATTTATTTCAGGCCAATTTGAAGAGAGGTTCAATTGAACCACTCTCATCTTAGCTCCCTGCTTGTCCATTGTTCTTAAAACACCAGAGAAGAGAGTTTAAGCCAGCTTTGCAACTCTGCTAAAAGCTCTCTGAAGTGGAAAGGTTTTCATTCTGCCTTCAAAAGGCTGAAAGAAGTTGCCAAGGGAAATTTTTGGGGTAGGAAGTTCATAACTGCCATATCACTGCCAAGAAGCGACTAGATCAGTCTTCACCATCTTGGTGCCATTTGGGTCTTTCAGACTCCCAACAATCATTAGCCCCTGGCTGGAATGGCCAATGGCCACAGGTGATGAGTTGCAGTCAACAAAACATTTGGAAGGCACCAAGTGGGTGAATGCTGGTCTAGATCATATGACCACACACATCTCAGATAGCAGGAACATTTGCAGAGGAGACTCTGGATGGTCCTAATGTATAGAGGAGTGTCTTGTAACCAGTTTTTTATTATTTATATGAAGTTGCTGGAAGCAGTCATTGAAGGATTTGGTTTGAGGTGTCAGAAAATAATGCTGATGACACCCAAGGTGTCATCCAAGGTGGTTACATTGAGTTAAGACCTAAATTACCTGGGACCCCTGAGGATTTGAAAGAGCTCACTCTCCCTTACCGATCTGTTCATCTCTTTAGATCGGCAAATGAGGCCTTCCCGTTGGTTCCTTTTTTGGATGAGATAGGAGGTCTGGGATCTGGGGGCAGGGCTCTGAGTATATGCAACTCTCCACTGAGGTGCATGTTTCCATTTTGTATTTTAAACAAGAAGTAAGGACCTGACTCCTACCAATATTTTGGAGGGGAGTAGTAGGGCTTTGACAAGTTTTTCTATTTTTGTACTGTTTGTTTTTAAGATGTTGCTTTCTATGTTGTAATTTTGATTTATTGATTTTTTTTATTAAATCCCTACTTGTTTTATTTTTTTTGCACCGTTCTGTGAATGTAGGGGTGTGTGACGCACACAAAAATAAAGGCACAGCATCTAAGTCTGCAAACACCCTTCTAATTGAAATGTGAAATCGACTTAAAAAGACACACATTTTGGGAAGCAGCAGGGCAATGGCATGGCTATGAAATTTGAGAAGCAGTTTTATTACGTTTGGGTGGCTCGGCAATTTTTCTATCATTTTTAGCTCCAAAGAGCCTATGTCTAATCGCAGTAGATCAGATAAGGAAGAACAAACTCTTGGTCTGGTAATCCAGCACCCTTTGTTCTCCTAATTATTTTGGATGATCAAAACTATCTGATCCAACTGCAAACACTTTCTAGTGGGGTGTGGGCCATTGGTCACGTTCCAGGGCCAGAATTTTGTCTGAGCATCTTGGGTGCTCTTCCTTGAAGAATTGAAGGGCTCCAGCCTGCTTGGTTGAGCATTCTCAGCATTCTTCCCCTGGGGTTCAGGGGACCGCACCAGGCTCTCCTCCTTCTGACCCCTCGCCACACAATCCTCAATGCTCTCCAACTTCCAGACGATCAACGCTAGAGACCTTCCAGTGAGAAGGCTTTGCTCACCAATCAAGCTTAACAATTCTCCAGTAAATAACTCCTCTGTTGCTCCAGGCAGATTAGTTAGCTTTTGAGATGTTATTTGAATGGCGGTATGGGCTGTTACTTTGAGCTGCTTGGGTTGCTTTAATCTTTGTGGGCTTTCCTGTAGGTCTGTTTTTCTTTGAACCTTTTGATCTAAGGCCTTTTAGCTGTTTGGGGGATCTTCCCATTCACTGTCTAACTGCTGGGGATTGGAACTATCTAGGGATTGTTTGTCACCGCCATGGAGATTATCTCCCTCCGCCGTTCCGAACTTGTTCCTAGCCCATCATCAGTAGCCCCTTTGCTATTTTGGGAGTTACCCATTCCGAGCAGTCAGTCAAACTTAGTTGTTTAGATTTGGAATCTGGTCAAGTGGCTTGGCACAGAACTGCTTTTTCTTGGGCATCAGGGCAGGGTCAAGACCCCCGGAACAATCCAAAACAATCCTCGCTACTTACGATTTGTTCGGTTTCTGAACTGGGGATGGAAAATTTTAGTCAGTAGACAAAACTGCAAGTCAGTTACAGAGTCAGGTTTCATCGGGCGTTCATTGTTGTGGTAAATCAGGTTGAGCGTTAAAACAATAAAACAATAAACTAAAAACAAGGAGAGGCGATGAGACAGCCAGTAAGACGTTAAAAATGTGAGATTAGAATCAGGAAGTAGCTAAAAACTACTTAAAAGCTTTATTGAAGGCAGGAGCTCTGCCTAGGCTGCTGTCTCGGCCACCATCTTGGAAAAGTCAGGACTATGCCATTTTTACTTTCGCGAAGGAGTGGCCCCCTGTCTCCATTACCGAAGTTACAAGTTTAATTGATCAGATGAAAGCAGGAAAGGCTGCCAGCCCTGATGCTATTCCCTCTGAATTGATCAAAGCCAAGTCAGAGTGGTGGGCTCTGATACTAGCGGATCTATTCACTGTGATAGATAGAGCTGGTATCATGCCTAACTCATGGCAGCAATCTATAATTATCCCAATCTTTAAAAAGGGTGACAAAAAGCTGCCATCCAACTATCGGCCAATGTCTATTGTCAAACATCGGGAAATTGTGCGCTAAACATCTGCTAAATAAACTAACTACTTGGCTTGATGAAAATAACATCATAGGTCCAAGAGCAGGCAGGGCTTAGGCCAGGGAAATCCACTTTATGCAACTGCATGGTGTTATCTCACTTAGCCGCTAAGTATATGCAGCTTCATAAAGAATGTCTTTATGTGGCCTTCCTAGATATCAAGGCTTCTTTGGACACTATTGACAGGGGGCTGTTATGGACCAAATTGGAGACAATGGGCTTAGAACCTAGATTACTATACTTGATCAAAAAGCTTTATACAAAGAACACCTGTCATATAAGAACAACACCAGGGAATGTAATGACAGATCCTGTCATTATAAACAGAGGAGTAAAGCAGGGCTGTGTACTCGCTCCCTCTCTTTTTAATCTTTTTCTTAATGACCTCACTTCTTCACTAAAACAGGTGGATAACCCAAAACTCAATGCATCAAGCATCCCCATTCTCCTATACGCAGATGACATGATTTTGCTTTTATGGACAAGAATTGGCCTAAAACAATTGTTAAATTCCTGTATTGACTATCTGTCCAGAATGAAATTGTGCATGAACTTTGATAAAACCAAAATAATGGTATTTGGGAATTCACGCAAGAGCTATAGCTGGGTACTTGGTGGAAAACCCATCCAGCAGGTATTTGAATTTAACTATCTGGGAATTACATTCCATCATAGGCTTCTATGGTCCTCGCACCGTGCAACGGCGGCGAATGCCAGTAAGATGTCTATGCATGCGATTTTTCATAACAAGAGGTAATTCGCATATCCCCTCTGCCCTCAAGGTCCTCAACACCAAAATAATAGCTCAGTTGCTCTATGGAATTCCAGTCTGGCTGCCAGGGTTTACCCAACTGGTAGAACTAGTGCAGGCAGCTTTCCTTTTTAAGATTTTTGCTGTCCCACATTGTGTACCCTATGCAGCCTTGTGTCTAGAGGGAGGTCAACACAAGGTAGAGACCATTGCCTGGGCGAGATTTCTTCTATGTTGGTTAAACATCTACCCCACATTAGATAAAGATCCTTTCTTCGGTGGTCTTGTCAGACCCCTTTCTTTCCCCAGGGCTACAACAGTTTAACATAAAGATACAGCACCTTGGACTGTCAATGGAACTTTTGTGATCGATGCCTCCACCATCTGCCAAGGCTATAATAAAAACTAGGTTGTGGGACATTGAATGCCAGGAACTAACAGCAGCAGCAGAGAAAACATGTTCCCCTCTTTACTTTCAGCTTTCTTGGGCACATGAAACTAATTATAATTATCTTGAATTTCTGCTTATCCCTCAAGAAAGAAGGGCATTTTTGATGGCCAGGTTTAATTCAAACCCATCAAACCTCCTTTGGGGTAGGTTCTCGGGAATGGTGGAAGGAGAAAGAATTTGCCCCTGTGAAGATCACCTGATGGAAACTCTTACTCACATGGTTCTCAAATGTAAACTATATGCTGATCTCCGCCAGCAGTTTCTAGAACGACGCTGCATTCCCAAATGGAAACCAGAGTTGGAGGTCATACATTTTCTATTACTGGGGAATGATCAGGAGCTCACCAAATTAGTGGCTAAATATCTTTATTTGGTTTTTGTCTTAGAAACACATTGCAGACGCCTGATCTCCCCGGAGACCTAGAGATGTAATGTTAGATTTTTTTTGCCTCTTTTCATTTGACAAATGAAGGGGAGGTGGTAATTCTGTATTGATTTACTATGGATGTTTGTATGTGATGCCAATAAAAGGTTTGATGATGAGACAAAAGAAAGAAAGAAAGAAAAGAAATAAAAGATATGGGAGGGAATGTTGCTTCAGATATTAATGCTAAGTAAGACTTTTAGGGTCAAAGCCAGCACTTAAAATTGAAGATGGAAACAGGTAACCAACATAGATCTCTTGGGGTGTTGTGTGGTCCTTGCAGAGTGTACCAGTTACAAATACAGATGCTGGCATTTTTGACCTGTTGAAGCTTTTGAATTCTCTTCAAATGCAGATTTGCACAGAGTGCATTAGAGTGATAGGGCGTGTATCCCTTATCAAGGCAAGGGTACAGCTGGCGCACTTTGTGAAGAAGAAGGCACTCTGGGCCACAGCCACCTCTTAGGAATCCTAGAGAAGCCCCATTCTGTGGATCAGCAGTTCAAGGATGCATATGCCACTGTCCAGGTCCTGTTCACTAATTACTTGATCAAAAAATCCTACACTCCCCACCACTTCTGTCACACCTGGGTTGAGTTTCAGTTTATTGTTTCTCAGCCAGCTCATTACTGGTTCCAAGCAATGATTCAGGGTTTCCACTGCTGCAGTGGGATTTAAGAAAAAGGAGAAGCATAATTGAATTTCATCAGCACACTGATGATGGTAAACTCCAGATCCTTGGACAACCACCTCCAGTTAGCAACGTCTAGATATTTGAGTAATAGGAAAAGCCCCTGGGATTATTTGCATTGGTCAGAAGAGGATGTTCTATCTCCCCTGGCACAACAGTAGAAAACTCACCTAACCACAAGGGAACCGCAGCAAATTTTCCCATTCCTATTAGGTGGTCCAAGATTATACCATGGTCTATAAAGCATCTGAGAAGTTAAGGCAAAACAACAAGAATGCTTTTCCCAATCATTGTCCTGGCAGTAGATAACTATTATCCTACAGCACGTGAAGAACCTTTTTTTATACTACGAGTATGGAGGGAAGTTATAAGGACCACCAGAAAGTTCAATAAACTGTTGTGCACAATATCCAAAAGAGAACTAGCCATTAGTTCAAAGAAAAAGGGAAGGAGGTATTCTTTTACTTGTTCTTTTACTTGTTCCAGTCAAGCATGTTTGGGTACATAGCTTTGTGGATGGGAGGGGGAGAGAAATTTCTACAGAATTAATTATAAAAAGAATATTAATTAAAGACCTAAATCTCACTTCATTTAGAAATCGAGCGATAGCAGATTACCTTCGTTCTAATGGCTATGAAGAGGCATACTCTGTTTTTAAAAAGGAAGCAGAGCTTGATGTGGTGAGTACAGACTTCGTATTCCTTGTGTGATGCTCCTGATTAACCTTTCTGTCATATATGCAGTAACTTTCCAAATAGAGGTAATGGAATGGAATGCTCACAAATCTCTGCAATTAACCTGAATGGTTACTTAAGCTTCTACTATCAGTGACTGCTAAGTTAACCAAGTTTGTGGAATTGTTAATTTCCCACCTATCTTTACTTGAGGTCTGTACATTGAGAATGCAAGGCAAATGGACCAAGATATTCACTACTAGCCACAATGGCCATGTTCCACCTACACTGTCAGGCACTGTTGCCTCTGAATTCCAGGTGCTGGGAATCACAGGTGGGCAGAGTGCTGTTGCTCTCAGGTCTGCTTGCATGCTTTCCACAGGCATCTGGTTGGTCACAGAGAATAGGATGCTGGACTAGGTGGGACATTGCCTGAACAAAGAAGCTCTTACATGTCTATAAACCTTTGCACCATGTCACATTGTCCTTGAAACTAAAAAGCATGAAGGATATCTATCCTATCACATTGTAGTTATTAACTTCACACGGCCTATCTCATTAAAAGAAAACCCATTCCTTAATCCAAGCCTATAGCCTTTAACTGTTCTAGAAAGGACCTCGTCGATCACCTTTAATTGGGGAATTCCTCTGGAATAGTTCTAGCTATGTGTAACGTATATAATACATTTTGAAATCAACATGTTTTACACTTGCAGCAAAAACTAAAGGCTCCAATTAAAAAACTCAGATTTGGGAGAGGTTAAAATGGGTACTATAAATTTCTTCAGTGGCAACTCCAGCCATATTTCATCACATACAGGCCAAAATATCACATGGACATAGAAACCTTACCAAAGGCCTGTGGATAATGCAAGAGCAGTCCCGTATAGGATTTCTCTTTCTAACAGAAGTTTTTATACCATCTGCAGTTCTTGTTTTCAGATTATTTAGGATTTCTAAACAATTCCATCTTGGTATAATATTTAGGTGCGCTTTTAAGCACATTTCTTGTGAGACAGTGTTGTTTAGCACTTACTTGATTCTGCTTCTTGCAAAGCCTTGCCTGGACTGCCATGGCCTTGCTAGTAATGTGTCATTTGCTACCAGTTTATCCTCACCTCATCTGTACTTTCCTGTCTTCCTCTTCCATGTTTTACCCTGCTGACCTTATTTGAATAATACAGGCTTTCGGTAGAAACAGCAGTGCTGCTTCTGTGTTCCATGCTCCCTACAACAACAAGCATGCAGTTTATACTACCTAAATGTTAAGTGATGGCGTTTAGGCTTTCTTTGTAACGGAAGTGTATGTCTACCCGCCTTAAGGCATTTGACCCAACTCTTTTTGAAATAATTGAAACTCCTAATGCAGCTCTTACTTTGTAGGTTTTGAAGGAGGAATAGCTATCTTGGTGTGATCTATAAATACTGTGCTATTTCTTCAGATCATATAAGCGACTCTGACTCTGAACCATTTAAATATATGCTAATCTCCTAAGTACCCTTTAGGCCTACCAATCATGCTGTAAAAGCGTAGAATTTAGTCTGCCTTAACCAAAGTACCCACTTGAGGCCCTACATTTCATTTCCCCAAATCTCATTCAAATAAAGTCCTGGTTGTAATCTCATTGTACGCGTAATTGAAAATGGGGCTTGATGAAAGGAGTGCTGGCATACCCGTCAACCTCATTAAAAACTCTTTCCCCCAAAAGGTAAGAAGGAGGACCTGGATATGCAAAGCAGCCTTGTTATACAGCAGTCATTAGGGAGATGTGTTTCACTTCCTTATGAGAGAGCTGTGTAGTGAAGCTGTGGGAGTATGAATTAGGCAGAACTCTTAATGAACTAAAAGACCCCAAAACCCAAGCACCAGTGAATTGGAATCTTATCCGTGCAACTGCTTCAGGGGCTACATTTGGCTCCAGCACAAATTAGTTCCACAAATAACCCCAAATTCCCCCAAGCACAGAGGGTGGTAATGCCTCCACTGTGGCCTCTTAACCAAGAAGATAATCCAATTACCAGTTCTGACGTTCTGCTATTCTCCTGCCTTTTACAATCTCCAGTGTTCCTGGACTCTCTGAGACCCCAGAACTTCAACATTGCATATAGCATCTGTTTGCACTTCCTTTAATTTTTGAGATTAACCTCTTCCCTTAATTTATAGGGCACACAACTTGTTGAAGTAAAATAATAATAATAATAATAATAATAATAATAATAATAATAATAATAATAAAAATTAATTAATTATTATAGTTATGGGGGAGCTGCTGCACTTTAACCAGTGCCACTCCCTCTGACATTCATTTCTCAGCTGGGCTGTGGTTTCTGGCCATGCCTTTGTTGAACACCCTGACTCCACAGATAATCAGAATGGTGGCAGACCAGAGAGGAGGGTGTGATTTTTTGGCTTTCATAAACTCTGAGAACTTCCTGTAAGCAAGAAGTTATTTCCCTGTAGAAATAATGTAAGGAGGGAAACTTGCTCAGGATGCTTCACCGGATAATTCAGTGCTTGTGCCTGCTTTGTGCTCTTGGTTGATGTTGGATCATGCATATCCTGAGGATTGTGCCTCTTAACACAAACCTGTTCGTCAAGGTCATCCACTGATGATTACAGCAGTGGCTTCCTGGCAGAGTAATTGACAGAATGTGTGTGAGCATGGCACTGGCTGCCACAAGACGGACCCAAGCTTAGGGGATCAGACAAATTCATGGAGGAAGATGAGCTTATTAGGCACAATAACAAAACAGAACCTGTACATTTACTGGCACTGTGCCACAGAATACTGATCACTGGGGAGCAACAAACATGGAGGGTTATTGCTTTCATTCCCTGCTTGTTCCTTCCCAAAGACATCTGCTTGGCCACTTGTGCGACGATGAAGTTAGATGGTTCTGGAAAATGTATATCAACCCATCATTCCCATTAAACCACCACACTTGCAAGGGTTGCAGTTCGTTGCAGCCACGTTAAACAATTCACATGGTCCAAAGGGGGGGGAAAGACCCCCCCCAAAAGACAGTAGAAAATGCTATTCTTATAAAAAATTAAAAAGCTGGCAAAATATTGCTGTTTGATGTTCTTAATTTTGGGAGAAAATGCTGCTAAGCAGGACTGATGGCACTGCAGGGGGGTTGGGCTAGATGACCATGAGGGTCCCTTCCGGTCCTACAATTTATGTGTTCACAACAATTGTCTTGATCTTCAGAATGAAGAGTTAGATAAGAAGTATGCTGGACTCTTGGAAAAGAAATGGACATCAGTTATAAGATTACAAAAGAAGGTAAGTACAAGCCTCAGTTGGTATATTGCTGGCAACACTGCTGCAGTGCTTTTAAAAGAAGTATGCAAAACAACCTATCTGGTTGGAAGTCCGTATTATGATAACCAGTTTTATAATTTTTGACCTGACAAGCAAATCATGATTTATGTCTGTGTGTGCTATGCAGAAATCACAATGTGTGAAAAACCGTGAAGTCAGACAATGCCTCCGCATAGCTTCATTCTTATTTCAGACATTGTGATATATCAGTATATAATGATGTTTAGCTGGTTGAAAACCAGGTATCACCCAGCTCTAGTCTCCTAATTCCTCTAAATGTGCCCACTGGTCTCAAGGCTAGGAGGTATGTAGGAGATAGGATCCAGCTGAAGCCTTGGCAGGTTTTTGCTTTAAACAAACACAAGCAGCATTGTTAAAGGTAATCGTAGCAAGGATATTTGATGCAAAACGCAGGAAAGAGAAAAATTCTGGCCGATAAGGAAAGAATGACAGAGCAGTAGACTTGCACTCATATCTAAGGGAACAAAGTTCAGGTAAAGTAAAATGACGACAAACACATTTTCTCAAAGCTAAAATGAGCTAAGGAGGGTTGGATTGATTTCAAGATAACCAGGCAGATATTTTCCTGTGGCTCTCAGGTTTTGTTCGGTTCCTTTTAGCTGTTACAGCTTGTACTTGGAGATAATTTGAGAGCTGTGTGGTACAGTTCCAGGGCTGCTGTAGATTTGGTGATGGTCAATGTGTGTTGGTCCTTCAGGACTTGCAAGGTCTTTTTTCTGACATTGTGATATATCAGTATATCATGATGTTTAGCTGGTGATATATCACAAAGTTGAACACCAGGTATCACCTTTTGTTTGTCTTACACTTTTGTTTGTTCTCTCCACTCCTCTCTCCCTGCCCTCTCTCCAAAACCATTTAGGTTATGGAATTGGAATCCAAACTAAATGAAGCTAAGGAAGAATTTACTTCAGGTGGACCACTTGGTCAGAAGCGAGACCCTAAAGAATGGATCCCTCGTCCTCCAGAAAAGTATGCGTTGAGTGGACACAGGAGTCCTGTCACAAGAGTAATTTTCCATCCAGTTTTCAGTGTTATGGTTTCTGCTTCAGAGGATGCCACAATAAAGGTAAGACTCTTCTATAAACCTGGTCTGTCTGTGCACCTCAAGGGGATGCTGCAGGCTATTGACACAGGAGGTGTGAGCTGATCAGAATTGGGATATGGCTCCCATTGTGCTTTTTGGACTGTATTAGCCTAAATAATATTTTTTTTGGCAAAATGGCATTCTGTGTTTTTGGTCACCCATAGAAATGTAGAAGCTTCAGTTAATACACAGCCTGGTGGTTTGCCTCCTGAAGCTGGCATGGGTTGATGTACTATTCTCACCCACTCTTCGAAGCCTGCGTTTGTTTGCTGCAGGCACACTCCTGGGCACAATATAATGTACAATCTTAAACAGCTTAGGATTCTGCAAGTATGCCACTTATCGTACTGTAGTATTGTGGCCCTTAGTAAGAACACCAAGAACACATGATGCGTATGTTGATAGTAGTTTCCAGTCTTTGGGACTCATTCATGCAGAAGCTTGCTGTAGCCTGAATCTCATTATAGCTTGATTCTCAGTGAGGTGGTCAACCTGTTATCTTGGCTCTGAGGCTCCACTTTGGGCCATAACTATTGCTCTTCTATACACAACACAGATTCCCTCCACAAAGGGCTAGGCTTTCCCTTGACATGCTAGATTTCTGTATGCAGGGATAATGGTGGTGATTATTGGATGGAGGAGCATTCCATCCCTGTGAACTGGTAGAACACAGGTTGGCCACCTTGGTGAGTACTGGGCCCATATTTTGTTGGTGGAAGAATTTTTGCTTAGAACAAGGGTCCTCATAGTTTCTACCCAGGGCCCACTTGGGATGACCACCAGTCAAAATTGGGGTGCTGGGGGCAGAACCAGTTATAAAAGTGTGGCAGATAGAAGCAGAGTTTGGCACAATCAGCTGGCAAATACTAGCATAACTTTCTTCTGATATTAATGCATCATTGGAAGTAGCTAAATACTTTGCCACAGCATTTTCCTTGTGGCAGGTTGAGTTCTATAGCTCAACTTTCCTCAAGCTAAGTGCAGACATTTGTTCTTGGAGGCATTGTGATTCAGCCTCCCTATTTCAGGCAGCGTTTGCTGATCTAGTGTCTTTAATTGGAGACAGATTTTCTTCTATATTTTTTGTTCCCACCCCCACATGCCTCTCATAAGTATTTTAGCCCAGCTCCTGTAATATCTTTCCTCATTCTCCTTTTCCACTCAACTTGTACCTTATTCCTTCCCCACAACTGCTAGTTTCTTTCATCCCTGCTTCCATGTCCTTTTACATTCATCTCTGTTCCTTTCCCCTCAGAGGACTCTTCCCCCATTCCCTGAACTTCTCTGTCTCTTAGCCACCTTTACTCTGCATATAAGGAGTTGCTGGGGCTGGCACTGGTACAGTCAAATATCTTTGGCACAGTTAGTGGGGAGAGGCTGGCAAGCAAGGAGGCACTGGCCAGACTGGTAGTGAGTATATTAATACTTAAGGGCTGTGTCGTATAATACATTGTTTTAATACATCACCTGAAGCAATTGGGTTTTTCATACATGACCCATGAAAAACAAAAACAAACCCCAGCACACCTTTTCCTCTGGAGTCACAAGAGACTGAGTTGAACAGTGGAGGATGGGGTAATCACAAGACAGATCCTTAAATGGCTTGGCCATTTAGGGCTCAAATACTTTAAAGCAGTGGTTCCCAATTAGCTAAGTACTGCAGATCCCCTGTTTTTCAAAAGCCAAGCCCCTACTTTTGAAAATTTTGGTATCTCTATGGTAGTTTTTGTTACATGAATATCTACAGAACACCAGTTGGGAATACTGCTTTAAAGACTGACTAGTTCCCTACAGACCCCCTTGGCTGCTAAGATTGGCAGAGGAGGCCCTCTTGGTAGTTCCACGTCCCTCAAAAAGGGGGGCATGGCCCAAGAGAGGGCATTTTCTTTGGCAGGCCCTAAGTTGTGGAAGTCACTAGTGACAAAGATGTGTCTGGCATTTTCACCTCTGGCTTTTGACACTTGAGAATGTTTATTTTTAGGACCCACTTTATTTCTGTAGTTTTAAGTTGCTTTAAACTGTTTTTTTTATAACTCTGTTTTAATTGTTGTGACCAATGCTGGGACCTTGGGGTGAAGGCAAATGGAATAATAATATTTTAAAAACTTGTGTCCTGCTCTGCATCCAATGACCCATTTGGGTGACTGGTTCCTCCCATTTTGTGTTCTGGCTTTATTCTTGGTTGCCAATGTGTGCAAGGCAGATATTCAAGAATTTAAAATAAAGTATTCTACCTTGGTATGTCTGAATATTGCTTTTGTCTCATAGAAAGCAGGAGTTTTATGTGTCTACACAAATAAAACATGTGCATCATCCCATAGAAAGGGGCTCTGCTCTTGTTTAAGGCAACAGGAAGAGCAGCAAAATGTGCTGTCTTCTGGCTTATTGATTTATCTTGGAAATGGGTTGGGTGGAGAGAGAAGGAGAGGTGCTGCTTATTGTCTAATTAATTTGAAAAGTCACTATACCTTTCGAAAATGTTATTGGTTCTTCCCTTGCTCCATTTCTTTCTTCCATTTTGAATTAATGTTGAACAGAGTGCCAGACAGCTGCTTTGAATGCAAATGAGAGCCTGGAAGAAATATATATATATATTGTGAGGGCAGATGTTCACCAATTTCTTTGTCTGCTTCCTAGGTATGGGATTATGAGACAGGTGATTTTGAACGAACCCTGAAGGGCCACACAGACTCAGTGCAGGATATTTCCTTCGACCACAGCGGCAAGTTATTGGCCTCCTGCTCTGCAGATATGACAATTAAGCTATGGGATTTCCAGGGCTTTGAGTGCATCAGAACCATGCATGGTAAGGAATTGAGGAATCCCACACTTGGATTGTGAGTTAAAATCAAACCAGTCCAGACTTGCCCTTTTCTTGAAACTGAAATTAGGAAGGGGATGCAGAACTCTTAAACCAAGGTTGGGGGGGGGATGCTGCAAGATAGCGATTTGCAAGGGGCTTCTCAGCTGATTATTGGGTCCTGAGAAATCCCTTTCAGCGTGCTTTGCAGATGCTGCTAATCAGCTGATTGAGGGTTCCCGCCCCACACCTGATGGTGTACTGGGCAGATAGGCACGGCTTTGGCTTTGCAGGTCAAATGGGGGAGGGCTGGAGGTTTCCCACCCCTGCCTTACACATATGATGTGGTAAACTCATGGCTGAACTTCAGTCAGCAGACATGTGGAGGGGAGGGCATCACACGATTGAATGCTCTCCTCTCAATAAAAATTACTGCACATGTAAAGCTAGTTGTTGGAAAGAATGATTCTAGCTTAGCTGTCTCTCTGACTCTCCAGCAGAGAATTGTTCTGTATGAAAGAAGATAATCATGGGGGCTGTCACTTGCAATCTGAAATTTGTATAGTCAAAACACAGACCCACCATGTTCCCATTTTGAGTTATTAGATAAAAAGATGGTTGTTACCTGGTCAGTATCCTGGGTATATTTTGCAGTCTGTGCTTGAAATGTTAACAGGCTTGTGTTCCCTATTGCTAGTTGGACGAAGTGGGAGCTGTAAGGCTTTAATATGGGCCAATTTCCTTAGCTTGCTGGGAAATGAGACGAGGCAATCTTGCTCTACTGTATAGTATGGTTAGAGCTGAAGTACCCATGGGAAGCATCACATTTTGGTTCATTCTATTGCCAGCTATATAAGAATTTTGGATATTTCCCAAGGAGGGCATAATTTTTGCTCCATAGTTGAAACCTGCCTGCCTTCTGTGTTCAGACCATAGCTTGCTTGTTTGAAGCATTGTTAACTGCTCAAAACAATGTGAAGGACTCAACATTTGAAATGGGAAAATATGACTTGAAAGGGATTGGGTGAATTAGGCTAGGCTAGAGTTTTGCAAATGTGAATTCTGCTTCATGTGCAATCCCCCCCCCCCCCCCGGCTCTGTTCAGCTTTCTGGAGGCAGCTTTCTTACCAGGAAAAAATAGCAGAAGCAGCGATTCTGGCCATTTCTTGTTGGTGCCTAGGAGTGTCCTTAAAGAGCCTGTATAAGCAGAATGTGCCTCTATAACTGCATTTACTGCCTGTGGAAAGGAGTACTGTGTCACTGGACCCAGCATGGGAGATGATGGTTGCTGTTTCCCAGAGAAGCATTGGCGAGAGAGCACATCTTCATAAGCTCCCCTCCCATTCCAGTTCTCTAGAATCTGAGAGAAGCTTCTTACACTACACGGAGCTTTGGAGCAATACAAATCAAGCCTCGCTGTGAAAGAAAGACTTGGGCTGCTTCTGCTTGCCCTGAAAGCCAACAGGATAAATAGATTTCCCCGCATTGCTTGCCCCTTGTCTGCTTTGCATGCTTGGAAAACTTTGGGGAGGGGTTTCTTCATGCAGTGATGGAGCAAGGAAATCCTCTAAAGAAGAGTGTTGCTGCTTCCAGCTTCTCCTAAGATTTTGTAGTACAAAGATGAGAGCTGTGTGATATCCTCCCCAGGTCTTCTGGCATGCATGCAATATTTGGGCAAGGGGGCAATGGTGTTTCCACCTTTGCACCTTTTTGCCTGTCCCTTTCAAACTTTTGTTACCAGCTCAATGATAGATTTTTGAGATGTGGCAACCAGAGTGTTCTCAGTATTTCATATATGACCACCTGATGCCTGCTTGCCTGGAACACACGGTACTGCACACTCCCTCTTCATTGCTGCTGCAGCATCACTTTCTCTTTTGCTGGCAAAAGTGCTGAACATCTAACGCACCTGCCTTGCCTGACTTTGAAACTGGGAAATGCAGCCATGATAGTTTCATGTTGCTCATTACAGCCTGCCAGTGGGTGTGTGGATGTGTGTGTTTTGGGGGTGGGTTAAGCGCCCTGGTTTCTTGCTCAAGTTCATTTAAGAAGGATTTAGATTCACGAGATTCTTTTTTGGAAACCATGCCGCGCACTTCTTCTAATAGCCAGACAACCACTGTAGACATCCTGTATTTCTCTCAGTTGGGTCCCTGGTTTGCATATTGAGGGTTATACAGGATTATTGTCGCTTGTGTGAATCGAGTACTCTTCACACACATTGTGAGCTAACACAGTCACAGTAGAAGCCTGATGTGAGCGTGTTTGTTGTGTTGTTTTCTTCTTCTAGGTCATGATCATAATGTTTCTTCAGTAGCCATCATGCCCAATGGGGATCATATAGTCTCTGCCTCGAGGGATAAAACCATCAAAATGTGGGAAGTTCAAACAGGGTAAGACCTTGCAGATGTGTTCATGTGATGGAAGAAACAGTGCCTGGTTGCTTTTTGAAGATTCTCCCTAATGCATGGGGATTGGGAACCTCATGTGCTCTTGTTAGACTTCAACTCCCATCAGCCCCAGCCAGAATGGCCAGCAGTTGGGAAATATGGGAATTGTAGTCCGCAACATCTGGAAGGCTAGTGACTAGTGGTATATGCCATTGGTCTTCAGCAAGTGGGATAGGGCTCACGAATGGATGAACAGCCTGATGTAGGCAAGGTTCGGTGCAGTTGCTCTCAAAACATGCAGAAAGGTGGAGAAGACTGCAAGCAAAGGGATATCTTCTGTACAAGCTTAACTGTTATACCTCCCTCCGATCCTGTGGCTTGGTGCTTCTTGGAATCCTATTAGATCTCTGAGAGAAGGAATGACAAACTAGTGTGTCACCAGTGTAGAAATGCAAAGAAGGAGAAAGAACAGTATGAGGGAAGAAGAAAGCTGGCATAATTAATGTTCATTTTTAAAAAGAGTCTCAAGATTGCCTCAATGTTGAGGATTCTCCCAACTTTTCCTTCTGATATATATTTTGTATTACCTTTTGGAAATGGATTCTTTAAATGATCCAAATAGCCTTTGGTTTAACCTTCTGCTCAGCCCCTTGTTCTAGCTGCTGTTTTCTTCCTGTCCATTCGCCCAGACTTCCCCCAGTCTTTCAACTCAATTTAGACCTTTCATTTATCAAAACATTCTGTTTACAACTGCTGGCAACGCCAGCATTGTCCCTAAACCATCAATACTTCAATTCTTGCTTTATATGGTAGTGTTCTGTCAACAGCGGTCTTCTTTTTGTTTATTTTCCTTGCAAACAGCTACTGCGTGAAGACTTTCACGGGGCATAGAGAATGGGTCCGCATGGTGCGGCCTAACCAGGATGGCACGCTGATTGCCAGTAGTTCTAATGACCAGACGGTGCGTGTCTGGGTGGTAGCAACAAAGGAGTGCAAAGCTGAGCTCAGAGAACATGAGCATGTGGTAGAGTGCATCTCTTGGGCTCCAGAGAGCTCTTATTCCACCATATCGGAAGCTACGGGATCTGAGGTAAGGAGTCTTATATTGCACTTCTCTCTCTTCTCTTCTCCTTTCCTTTCCTCTCCTCTTCCCTCCCCTCCCCTCAGTGTACATTTCAACCTCTTACTCTTCATTGGGGCATGCATGGACATGTGGGATTTGTAGTGGCTGTCTTGTTGCTTCGGATTTCCATCACATGCTGGTGCTGTCTCCCACAGCCATTCCACCCCTTTGATTCAGATAAACATCTGATCTAAAGCTCAAAGTCCTTTTTTTTTAACTCAAAAAGGAAGAGGTGGTGGCTTTGGGCAAACTTGTGTGGTTACATACTGAAAACCCATTTTTTAAAGAACATCCCTCTTTTACTCTTACTCCTTCTTGCTCAGTGCAGTGTTCTGGAGCTCTTCTAGAGCGTGTCAGAATCCTACATACTTGGCCTCTTGAAATAGGCTATCTCCCTTTATGGAAGTGACGTTTCTTTTCTGAATTATTTGGGGCACCACAGTGGACATATGCTATCACTCAACAGTGGCCAAGTTTGAACCTGGTCCCTTTTTTCACTTACTTAAAATAAAAGGTGTGTGTGTGTGATTTAAGGTCATATCTCTCAGCTGACTGCTTAGCTGCTTCACTTTCTCTCCTCTGCCCTCTACTGGCTCGTTGCAGAAATGATTGCCCAAGAAAGGCATGGAAGGTGAAGAGAGCTGTGAAGCTCAAGAAGTCATTTTAGCCTGAGCCTATCCTGGCTTAGATATTAATGGAGGCATGTACAAGGGAGACGCATACACTTAAGAATTCCACACTCTTAAGAGAGATTAATGCGTTTTGGCTGAATGTGAACAATAGATTATGGAGTTGTGCGTTTATCTCTTTTGTTCTAAGAGCAAAATATCGTATGATAGATGTCCCTGGTTCCCTTCTCTTTTAGACTTCCCAGTTGAATTTTGGGGGAGTATCTTAAGTAGCTCTAGTGGGTGTCTTGAGTGAAAGGAGAAAGGGGAGAAACGTATTTGAAAGAAGGAGGTGTGAGCCTCGGTGGAGAATAACGGTGAACAGAATAATTGGCAGTGGGCACGACAATCTGACATAGAAATGTGGCCTCAGTGTAAAACTTAACAGTCCAAAACAGTAGCACAATAACTTTTTATGGTAATGGGCTAAATAGTCGCACCAGTTAGTGACTTTAAATTTTCAAGAACTCTTCTTCAGGCTGGATACTGAAGGGAGGGAGTGAGAGAGAAGAAAACAGCCAGTGGAGGCCAAATTTGGCAGGAGTGCCTAGTGCTTGGAGGACATTTCTCTCCCCTGCCCCACATGTTACCCCAGGCAATGTCGTTATTGAGGGGTAGGGAACTTGCTTCTAGTTCTAAGATTTCTTTGAGTGGCTAAACTCTATTTGTAAGCTTAAAAAAATGCAGACAGTAGTATCGGTGCATTAGAAAAACAAGCTTCTCTTTAAATAGATCATTAATTGTAATTGAACATAAACAACTTTTTATGTTCATTGGCAAAGTCTAAAGAATTATGTTTTAAAAGTGTGTGAGTGTTTCTGCCATGTTCATTAACATAAAGTGTTTAATTGACTTCTGAGTCCTGTTTACCTGGAGCACAACTTTTCTTTGTGCTTGCTTTAGGTCTCAGGTACTCCAAAGGTGGGTCTGCGTTTCTACCACCTGAAGTATTCATTTTTGTAATTTCCTTCTCTTTCCTTTATAGACTAAGAAGAGTGGCAAGCCTGGGCCTTTCCTGCTTTCTGGCTCTAGAGACAAGACCATTAAGATGTGGGACATTAGTACTGGCATGTGCCTTATGACACTTGTAAGTTCCTGTGTGTCCCCTCCTGTCGGACTGCAATCCTGTATACTGTTGCTTCAAAAAGGAGTAGATGAGACAATATTGCCTGGATGACCTCAAAACAGTCTCTGAGGAATCCAGCCAGACTAGTTAGAATGACTAGAATCTGTACAGATTGAAGGAATAATCCATCACAGGGCCCTGTTCTCATCTGGGGAATTCAATTTCCTATAGTTCCAAGGCGGTTAGTTTGGGGCAAGTAGTGGAATGATCTTACCATTGGATTTCAAATCATGTTGCGAATGTTCAGGTGTGCACACAATACGTACTCTCTTGTGACCTTGTGCCATTTTTTCTCTCTCAACAGGTGGGCCATGATAACTGGGTACGTGGCGTCCTGTTCCATTCTGGGGGGAAATTTATTTTGAGCTGTGCTGATGACAAGACCTTGCGTGTCTGGGACTACAAGAACAAAAGATGCATGAAGACTCTCAATGCGCACGAACACTTTGTTACCTCGTTGGGTATGTATGTGCACTTATTCCAGCACAGCGCAGCTGAGTACAGACCTACATCTTCTTTGTAGGTTGGTCTTTACCTGGAGCCCGGCGCATAAACCAGTGGCACCACTCTTCAGCTAAGAAGGGATGCACTGCACTGCATTAAATACTCTCTAGACTGTCAAAGTATACCTGTGTCAGGCTGGCTTAAAAGTCCCCATGCTACGAATAATGTCTGGCCTCCCTCTCTTCACAAAAGAAGAAAGGGGAAGGGGGCATGTTGGAAGTTACAGGGAAAGTATATGCTAGTAGTGTTTTGCCAAGCTAGTGAAGACAGTTGGGTTTCATTTGTTTCTGTGCAGCAACCTTTTTTTCAAGCAAAGGAAAAAGTGGGAAAATTAGTTGCTTGTAGAGGCATAATGAAAACTGAAGCTGGTTTCAACAGGAGCGAAGCTCCTTTATATCCCTTGAGGTAGAGGTTCCCTGTTCCTTTGTTCAGAGCTGGTTGTTCCTCTGCCCCCACCTCTCCAGTTCACAGGACCCATAAAAGCCAAGCTGCTTTACATTTATTGGCTAGCCATCCCTGACTTGCTGTGCTGACTGTACTGCTAATGATGGCTGATGGCTGATCTGTGACGTGGGCCTTTCAGCTAGTGGTTTGCTGACGTAACTCAAGGTGCGTTGCATCAGTGGCACCATAATTTTTCTTTTACAAAAATGTTAGGAGGAGGAGGGCAGAGTAAAGGTATGTCTGCACTGTTAGTTTACACTAATAGTATGCATCATCTGCTGGCATGGCTGTCCCTGTGAGAGGGGGAAATAATGAGGGCTGTAGTTTAGGGTAAGCTGGGTATCTCCTCCTTTCACAGATCTGTGCACAGACTGCACTTCTCAAGGTTCCTTAGGGAGGAGGAGCAAGTGTGTTTTTGGAACCCTCGATTAATACAACCCTCACCCAAGAGGACACTCGGAGGCAGTTTCTCCACTGCCTCAAAATACAGGTTTTTGATGAAAAGCTAAAGGAAAACAATGAAAGCCGGCAAGTCCTAGCAGGTTCCCTTCAGGCATAAACTCTACAGTGTAGGAAACAATAAAGATTTGCCATGGCCACTCACAGTATATGTACTGAATTTTAAAATATTCTGGCTGATCCAGCATCATGGGCATTTTTCAGCTCTAGTATTGACCTATCCTTTGTGGTGCTGTTAGTAACTTCCTGTCTTCCCCCGCCCCCCTCTCTCTTGCAGATTTCCACAAGACAGCGCCCTTTGTGGTTACCGGCAGCGTAGATCAAACAGTAAAAGTGTGGGAGTGCCGTTGATTGAATTCACACCTGGCCCACCCCCCTCTTTCCCTCCCCCTCTGGATGCACTCGGATACCATGGTTACCCATTGAGCTCTGTTTAAAATAAATATTGTCCTTTCATGTAAATTATTCTGGATGTAGATTGAGCTTATTAAATGTTACACACAAAGTATTCATGCATGGTGAATCCAAATTGTATACTGTAAATTTACATACGTTGTCTAGAAGTACCATAGGTTTAAGGACATGGGCTGGCATTGGTCACATCAGACCTGCGAAGGCAGAAGCTGGTTGGTTGAATTAAGGGCACTTAAACCAGCAGCAGCAGCAGCAGCAGCAGCAAAATCCCGTTCTGTGCTGGATAAACTGAACACCCGTTCTCTTCTGTTGGGTGGTGCCTATAACTAGTGACTCTCATACGGATTCTTTTTTTGGGTGGGGTGGGGAGGGCTCTTTCAAGAAACACGTATCTCTGTAACAACATCACTTAAGTGTGCTTAAGAAATCTAAGGATACTAGATAAACAAGGCTGCAACTTAGAACCTTATGTAATTAATGGAAACTAATTAAAACTTCCAGTTTTTTCTCGTCCTGATATATTTGCCAAATCAATAGGATATATTTTTATTTTGGCTTCCTATCACGTTTAAAAAAAAAAAGAGGTTAGTATCCTGATACTAACAAGCTGCAATATAGGAAGAGAAACCTTGGTATGATGTGACGTGTATTTTTTTTTAAAGAAATGGTTGTTGGAGTTCTATTGCATTCTAACACTTGGAGCTTAATGCTTTCCATGCAAAATGTGTCTTAGGGAGTCTGTCGGCCTTGCTTGAACGTAGCTCTTAACTGGACAGTTGGACTCAATCTCCCAGTTGACTCCTGACAGTTCAGCTTTCTGTTGGCTTTGGTTGTGGTTTATCAGGCTTGTGCGATGTCCACAATATCTGAGGGTGTCCTCTCTCCTCCCCTGCTTTCCCTGGTAGTTGGTGAGTGTGCAGCAAACAGGGTAATAGTGGTGTGATTCCCTCTCCTTTCCAGTTAGCGAAAAGGTCTGAAAGCAGGACAGGGAGCCACAGGATGGTCAGATGTGATGGGACATGAGAGCAGAGTTTGCAGTGCTCCAAAAAAAGCACTGTAGAAAGAAAGAAAAAAAGAAGGAAAGAAAGAAGGAGGGAAGGAAACAGGAGGAGGAGGACCACTTATGCTAGCAGGTACATTGCAAGCTTCTAGATAACCTTACAACCGCATGTTAAATCCACCTGCTGACATGCAAAAGCCTGCTCTTGTTACAGAGTTTTGAAGCCAGCTTCAGTTTGGAAGCTGCCCCCTTAATTTGAAGAACTCTAAAAGAAAGAAATGCCCCCCAATTCATCTTTTTTCCAAGGAGCAAGCATCGTTCAATCAGCCTTTTATTGGTCACGTTCTGTTATAGGCATTTTTAAGTCCAGCCCTTCACTAACCAGGTCTGTTCCAAAAATCCACGTACCCCAGTCTGGACAAACTGCCGGTCTGACAAATTTTAACACACATGAAGTATTTTGTTTTGTTAGCTCTGTGGCTTTTAAAAGAACTGGCCCTTAAAACAAAAAAGCAACAAAACCCCCCACTTGTTTGGAGGGTTACTTGCATGTCAGTAGAAATAAGGCTTAATCACACATTTTGGTTCACCCGCAAGGAGGATTTTTTGGTGCTTGGCTTCTTTTACGGGAGCTGGGAAACCAAAGGCAGTGAATGACTTGAAAGGGTGGGGAGTAAGTTAGGCTGCAAGTCCTGACTTCTGGAGAATGCAGTTTTTTAGTGAGCAAGCTTCCCACAAGCCGAATCTTACACATTTTGAAGTCTTAACCCTCGTTTTTAAGCTGTTTTTGACAGGAAATTCATTGCTGTTTTTGCCTTTTTGAGAATTTCTGAATCTGTAGTGGGGCAGTCATAGCAATGCTGGTTAGCAATTGTAAAGTAATTCTTGGCTGAGGTGTAGAAATCCTGGTTCTTTTCTTTTTTAAGGGTTAAAGGTAAACTCTGCATTTACAGACTCTGTGAATCTATGGTACCTATTAACATGGGAGCTTGACCACTATTCCCTTCACTCCTTTGAACATAATACATGGTTTTAGGATAAAAAAGGAACCATTTTGTAGCCTCTAGTAGTCACGAAACCTCCTTGGCATTGAGTAACTTTAAAATTGTAAGCTACACGTCCATTTAGCCGGTTTACAATAATAAGTGCATTACCATGAGTGGTTGTAGACTGCACCAGCAGTTACACCCCTGGTTTTAAAACAAAAGAAAATGGAAAAGGGGAGAAGTTGGTGGTGTGGTGGAGTTGTCCCTAGGAGTTGGCTTTTGTGGTCTCTCTGGCTATCTTAATCCTGTGCCTTTTCTTTTTCTCCCGTGAAGAGTCTCAAGCGCTGAGGTTTACTGGTTTGGATTGAAAGAGGATTTTTAAAAAATATATCAGAAGGTATTCAGGAGTGTATTGCTGTGTGTTACGTCACACAAAGAGTGGCATTCTGTTTTTAAAACTGAAAGGGCAGTGGTCAAGCACCACACTTCCAAACAGACCAGTTTCGGTGTCCAGTCTCTTGAAACAAAGCCACAAATACATACCTAGACATGTATATCAACACACACACACACACATTCCAGAACTGCATGGATTATTAAGATGTGCCCAGGAAAAAATTAATAAATCCTAGATTCATTTTTCTTTTTGAAAGTGCAAAATCCACCCTCCCCTCTTTTTTGATTTGGACACAATCTGAGAGCTGATGACTTGGAGCATCCTGCACTTTACCATTTTCATTTTAAAGCCGTCCTGCTTTTGTGTGTGGTGTGACCAATGAAGTGCCCAGGGCACAATTTTTTTTTTTAAAGAAACCCCCAGAAAATACTAGTTGCTAGCAAGTTGTCAAGCTGTGGAGCACTGTAGTATTTTGAAAGCTTTGGCTCTCGCCTCACCAAGCTACCCCTACCCCTCCACCCCTGGTCTAATCTGTTGACACCTGGCTGCTTCTCCCATTTACCTCTAAACTCTCTCTCTTTTTTTTAATGTGAAATGAACTGCCTGTTTAAATCATTCTTAAATAGCTTTCTCTTCTCCTCTCACCTCACTTCTCTGCCCGTCCCTCATCCCATCTTCCCACCCCATGAAAGCTATTTAAAAGGATACGGTTTGGGTTGGGTTTTTCCTCCGCAGTGGCTTGATAATCCTGACGTGGATTGTTTTGAGTGCAAAATTTTAACAGAATTTGAATGAAGGAAAAAAGAAAAAGAAAAAATCCACTTAATTATTCCATATTCTCACTCTGGCTGTGTATATTTAAAAATAAATAAATACCCAGGGTACTAGCTACTGCAAAACCTCTCCATTAGTGGCAGAAATGATGTGTATAAAATAGGGAAACTTGTTTGGGAGGTTTTCTTTTTTTGTGGGGGGGGGCAGAGGGTGGGCAAAAGTTTGAGCCAGATTGGCAAGTCATGACTGGATGTTAACCAGCCTTTTTTATTCTCTTTCTGCTGTGTCCTTGTAAGTAACCACTTTCTTGTCCTAAGCATATCCTTCAAGCTGTCCAAAGTTCTTTCTGAAGAGAATTAGCAAAATATTCCACGTTTTTAGAAGTTTGATCCCAACACTGACATGACGACAAGCATCTTTATTTCTCTCTCTCCCCCCCCATAAGAACGGTGTAGAGATTGCCATTGGAGAAAGCTTCCCCCCTCACCCCCCAGACTGTAGGAGTTAACTGAAGATATTGACACAATTAAAATTAAAAAAAAATCAGTAAAGGAATGTATATAATACTGCTCTGTGTTTTACAGTAAGATTTGTTGCTCTCAGACTGTGTAAAACAAAATTTATTCATGTTTTCTGCATATTAAAACAAAAATCTTATTGTACCAATTGGTAAACTATTAAATGCATATAAAACTAAATGCGTTTCGTTCTTTTTGTTTGTCTAGGTGCAGAAAAGATCATGTGCTTTTAGATTGTGCTTGATTAGGCAGTTAAAAGCAGATGGCAAAAGAATATCATGTTGGGTTTCAAACTGGAGGAAAGCAGTTCTTCAAGTGACAATGCAAGGTGGGTGAGTGGTGTGGGGCAGAGCAGATAAAAGGACAGCAGGGCAACCGGCTTACACAACATTTGTCTCTTGTGAAGCTCTAAAGGGGGCAGTTGCCCTCCATTTCCTAAGTACAGGTGTCCCCCCACATAATGTGTGTTCTATTTGCGCACAACCACATATATGTGGAGCGCCAGGAAATAAATAGAACCATACCAGAAAATGGCGGGGGAGAGTCCCTGCAGCTCACGAGGTGACCCTGCCCAGAGCGGACGTCAGTGAGGGCAGAGGAAGCCCCAGAGAGACCTTAGGCACAGTGGGGCTTTTTTTAGGCTGCACAGCCTCCCCGCCTGACAGCTGACTTGCATGGTAGACTATCAGCCGGTTTCCTGCACAGCCTCCAGCCAGCCCCAGAACTTCAGCTCTAGTTGAAGCGAGAGTTGGAGAAGCAAGGAAAAATTAAGTTGCGGCGGGGGACACCTGCAGTCAAAATCTGCTTGTGGAATTCATTGTCGTAGAATGTGGTGAGGGCCACGGGCATAGACACAGCAGAGGCTGGCATCTAAGGGCAGATGGGGCACTGCCCCACTAGCCTACCCTCAGCTGGCCCTTTCCTGCTTGCAACCAGTCCAGGAGGTGCTGTTGCCTCTCAACTTCCTCCTGAGTTGGTGTTGCCCACTTCTAGAATGCAAGGATGGGAGCAAAGCTAGGCCTAGCAGGCTCAGGCGCCACCTCCTGTTGGTCTCTGTCATGCCGGTCTCAGTGGGCATCAGCCACCATGGCTTAGAGATGCATCTAAAAGCAGACATACTTGGAGGTCTTCTTGATGGTGACACAGAATGGAGTATGTTGAGGGGGGTGATTAAGGACAGTGGCATGTGGCTGTGTGTTGCCTTCAGGCCCCGCATTGGAGCTTCTTGCCAGCATCTAGCCAATCTTGAGTTTCTGCTGTAACGCAACTTGGGGTCTTGGTAAGGTTAGATAGCAGCACTGCAGAATGCCCCGTACATCTTGCCACTTGGAAGTGGGGCAGCCCAGATTAATGCTTGAGGCTGAAGGTCCCTACTGGAGAACAGTTCGCTTGTTTGTGGGAATGGTGGATTTTTTGGTTTCTTAGCCTGTTGCTGCAATACTTAATTACCAAAACTCATTGGAGCCAATTTGTTTTCAAATGCTTGTGAAGAAGCTGCAGTGTCACCCAGGACTCTTCAGGCTTACTATCACATATTTTGTGTTGACTTGCCACCCCACCCTCCCCCAATGGGTAGCAACCCAGTGCAGAAAACGCCTCAAGTTACCAGGGAGGGAGAAGCCACATCAATTAATTTCAAGCCGTACAAATGTAATTTGACCTAAATAAATCTAACACCCAAATGAGCAACTGTGTTAACTGTAGGCAAGTAGAGTTTTATTAACCTAATTAGTATTGACTCTTTGACAGGGCGACCTCTTTCCACTGAGCTGATTTTACCTACATTACTATCGTTGACCTTGATTTTCCACAATAGGCGATAGCAGCCTTTTTAACTAGCATTGGAAAAAACAACAGATTTTCTGTGCTTCACACAAGTGGTTATCCCACAGTAAGCCTTTAACAGCTCTGACCTCTAAAATCTTCTAGTTTTTCTTGTTTTCCTTCTGATTGACTGAAACCAAAGAAGCTTGTCATCTAGAGTGGGTGGAATTTTTTACTAGTTTGATCTAATTTGAAATGGGGTGGTGATGGCAGGGTTGAATTCTGAGTGTCACTCCCCATGTAGCTGTTCTGCTAATGTGGCATCTATATCCCTTTTCCTAATCAGCTAAGACTAGTTAATTCACGGGTAGGCCAAAGGGATATCTAGGTTATATGAAGAAATGGCCCCCTGGTTGGTCCTATTGATGGGTATGTTGGGGAGATCCCATTCCCATTTAGAAGCTTGCTAGGCCAGCTCATGGAGGTGGCCTATAGTTGTTTTCACATGGTTTAATTATGCCAGTTAAATACAGTGGTTCCTTGGTTTACGAACTTAATCCGTTCCGGAAGTCCATTCTTCAACCAAAGCGTTCTTAAACCAAGGTGTGCTTTCCCATAGCAGTGGGGGACTCAATTTACAAATGGAACACACTCAACAGGAAGCGAAATCTGTTCTGCTTCCAAGGCAAAGTTCACAAACCAAAACACCTACTTCCGGGTTTGCAGCGTTTTTAATCCAAGTTGTTCATAAACTAAGCTGTTCTTCAACCCAAGGTACCACTGTATCTTTTATCCTTGCTGGATCGGGACTGTAGAAATAGTCTAGATAGCAGTTTTTTGTTCTCAGCTAAATGTGGATGAAAGCACAAGAGGCCTGTAGAGTTACAAAGCATCTGTGTGTGAACAGTGGCGAGAAGATTGCCTTCAGGCGAGGCTCCTAACCTGGCAGCTGTAGTCAGGCACCATGACACCCCAAGATAGATGCAGACACCCTTGCTGAGGGCTTACTCTTTTAGGGGGGATGTGGGCAGAATGCAGATCAGTTTTCTGTGCAATTGGCACTTTGTGGTGCCCTCCCACCTTACAACTGATTGAGATGACTAGGCTCAGAGAGGCGAGCTCAAATCCCGTTGGCTACGAAGCTCACTGGTGACCTTTTTAGCCACTCACCTACACTAGGGAGTGGAAGAAGCAGACAAAGCACTTCCTTCATGCAGTGCATAGTTAAAAGTATGGAACTTGCTTCTACTGGAGGGCAGTGATGGCCACCAAGCTAGGAAGCTTTGAAAGAGGATCAGACAAATTAATGGTGGAGAGGGCTGAACTCTGCTTCCACAGTCGGAGGCAGCAGTGCTGCTGAATACCAGTTGCTGGAAACTACAGAGGACGCGAGAGCTTTTGCGCTGGATCTTAGTTGCAGGATTCCCACAGGTATTTGGTTGGCCACTGTGAGGAACAGGATGCTGGACCAAGTGGGCTGCTGGCCTGATCCAGCAGGCTTTTCTTAGGTTCTTAAGCATGTGTGCCTCCTTGAGGTCATTAAGCTAAGGACTGGCGGGCAGACCTTTTGGGTCTCCCTCTCACTGGTAGTCGCAGCACCCCAGAACATAATGCACACCTCTGGACCCACAAATTATAGAGGTCATGTAGTCTGTAACGTAAGGAAATAACGTGGCAGAATGTCTGAGCCACAGCGTCTGGCAAGATTCTGACCATACCACCTTAGCCCCTCAGGAGACACATACCCAAGGCTGTTGTTGGCTTTAACTACCAAATTAAGCCAAATTGTCCACTGTCTGCGAGAAAAATTGGGCAGATGGTTCTTTTTCTGCTTATGTCACAAATTTATTTGAGGGGAACCATTACTGGGAGATAATACTCAAAACAAAGCACACAAAACCTAAAGTAAAAGTTGCATTGAAATCTGTTCTTTATTCAGACACTTCCAAGGAAATTCTGTATTTTTCTCTCTCGCCCCCCACCTCCACATCTGGACCAAAGAACATTCTCTCCCCCAGGGAAGGGGGGCAGGGCTCTTGCTATGTACCTAAATTGCACTCACGTCAAGGAATAGGCAACCTTCGCTATCTGGGCCCCAGAACCAATGCCAAAGTTTCGCTTTATTTTATTTTGCCCTCTGTAGCAGCAATTTCCAGCCACGCTACGATGACGTCACTCACTCACACACTCCCCTCCCACCCACCTTTCTTTGGTAGCCGTTTTTGGCAGGTTTTATAGGGCCGCAGAGACCGTAAGTTGCCCAACCCCTTGCACTGAGTCTGTAACACAAGTCCTGCCCCCCCCAACCCATCCTTTCCCAAAATACAATATTCGAGTCACATGGTAGAAACATGACCTCTCACTCTTGTGGTTTTGAGCAGGGGTGGCGGCTGACAAAATGCAATTTAGTACAAAAGGGAGAGGAGGGAGGTGGTGACCACCAGACTCTGCATTTTGAACTCAACATGATGTGTGTTTTTCTAGGCAGGGAGGGCAGAGCTAGGAAATCAGCTTTATTGTTCTTATGAACACATTCAACCTGTCGGTAATAGCAGGGACGTACAGTAGTGAGAGCTATTAAGAGTAGCTGAAGAACATATCACCGTTTTCCCCCTTCAGGGGAGAGCAGAATATTGGGCAGAGCATCCATTGCCAGCAATGAATGCCTTCTTGGGAAGCTTGTGTTCTAAAGCTGATGAGGCTTTGGGACAAAAAACCTCCACACGAACAAGACACCCCCCCACACACCAATCATCTTGTTCCGTACTATATAGTATCTAATACAAATTTATTATTGTTTTCACTGTGAGAAGGAAATTAGGGGGAGAGAAAAGAGCTTCATTTTAGGTTCATGATTCTTGTTTAAGTACATTCACAGATAAACCTTTTAAAAACAACAACCCAAACATTGATTCAATTCAGCTCACCAATTGAACCAATTGCTTTCGAGACAGCAGTCTTCAGCTCCTCCGGTACGATTCTGGGGCACGTAACTTGTGAGAGACGACCGAGGCGCTTTTGTTCCATGCCATTCACACAACTCTTTGAGAAGGGGGTGGGGAGAGAGGGAAAGTATAGGCACTAGGGATTTTCCATTGTATAAGGTGAAAAGGGTAGGGGGGGAATTTATGCTTTGACATGGGAGGAGCCAGCCTAGTTACTCAGCACTACCTCCCTGTCCCCCAAGCCATCAATTCAGCTTTTACAGTTAACTTGGCATAGGGGGCAGTTGGATGACCAGAGCTGTAGCATCCCATGGCTTGGTTTTCTTTTTAAATACCCCCCCTTTTTTTTGGATGCTGTTTCTTATGCTGTGCTCAAGAGGGAGCAAAGCACAAGGAATTTAGGCGGACACAAAAACCACACAACATCTCCTTTCCTGGGCCATGAAACTTGCAAAAAAACAAAACCGCACCCCACGTTCCCAACAAATCTAAATAGTTTGAGGGCGGGGGGGAAGACAAGGAAAGAATAAAAAGAGGAACCCTAAAAGGAATCCAATGGCTGTCTCCTAAATTTAGACCAAAAAAAAGTTCTACGCCATCTCCTCAAAACAGTTTCCTCTGCAGTACCAACTCTGCTCAGGCCTTAAAGATAAAACATTGAGATAAAAAATATGGCTGAATTTATATTTAATATATAATATTTATAGTGTCACGATCACCTAAACAGTGCAGCAGCAGGCTGAGCCTCAAAAATTGGAAGAAAAAGAACTTTTGGGGGGGGGGGGTTGGGGAGGAAGAACCACCAGGCCCGGAAGGTGGGGAAGGTTCCTTTTCTGCAAAGTTATAGATGTCCTTTAAAAGTCAACAGAAAAAATGACCTGAGAAATGTTATTATACCTCACTTGGAATTAAATCTCTTATGTACACGGTAAAAATGGATTGAAACGTACACGCACACACGCATGCCCCCTTTCCACCCTCCCCACGGCATCCCTGCATTCTCCCGCCCCAGTTAGACTCTCCGGGCACCGCCCCGTTTCGGGTGCCCAGTGCCCGCCTTGACAGGTAGGGTTCATTTCTCAAAATTTAGTTCTTTGCATTGTGTATTCATTGTACCAGTGCAAATTAAAAAATAAAAACAACAACAACACAAAAACACATTGCCGAGGAGAAGCTGCCCTGAGGAGAGGCTGAGGAACTCCCTAAACCCCACCCCCGGGACAGATTCAAACAGCCAGAGCCTTCTCCCGACGCGGACCCCCAAGCTAGGGGGCCGTGGCTGCAGGCGGGCTTGCTTCGGGCTCGCTCTCTTCTGTGGGTTTTTCTTCCGACTCCAACTCTTCGCTGCCCTTGAGGACCTCCTGAAGTTGCTGGCGCCGCTGCACTTCGGCTTTAAGGTTCTCCAAGTCTTTTTGGCTGCGGAGGGAGAAGGGGGAAAGGCTGGGCAATCCCTGGCAGAGCAAATTCAGAGGAATAGCGCGCAGAGCGGGGCGCTCGGGACGGAAGACAAGAGGTAGCTCATCTCCCTAGCTGTTGCCGCAACAGAAAGACCTGACCTGTGTTTATGCATCTCTCCTATCCAAGCTGCGTACAAGCAGGCAAGGACTCCGCCTGCGATTAACCTGCTCCTGCTCCTCCCACTTCAATCCTCTCCTGGGTCATGGGAGACAGAAGAGGGGTCAGCAAACTTTTTCAGCAAAGGGCCAGTCCACTGTCCCTCAGACCTTGTGGGCGGCTGGACTATATTTTGAAAAAAAAAAAATGAACGAATTCCTATGCCCCACAAATAACCCAGAGATGCATTTTAAATAAAAGCACACAGTCATCTCACGTAAAAACACTCTGATTCCCAGACCATTTGCGGGCCGGATTGAGAAGGCAATTGGGCCAGATCTGGCCCGGGCCTTACTTTGCCTACCCATGCCCTTGACTCTCCACCAGCCTGAGCTCTCTGTCCCCCTTCTCCTGCCTCTGACTTTCATCTGGCTGTTACAAGCTCCCCCAGTTCACCTACCCCTTCTTCCAAGTCAGTCTCCGACCCCCACTCCTTGGTGTCCAGCCATTCCTTGATAATCTTATACCGAAAGATAGCTCCTAGCTTTTTCGAAAGGTAATTTTGGCAATGCAGATTTGGCCCTGGTGCTTTCTGGAGCAGGGGTATGGAACTGCAGGCTAGGCCCCCCCCCCCAGCTTCTCTAGAGACTCCCCCTTGGCCACACCCCCTTCTTCCAAGTCACACCCCTCACCAGCCTTCCATCTCAAGTGCTTTTCTCCTGGCTGAAATGTATCCTTGAACTCTGATAACGATTCAGAATGGAGGGTCGTGTGTGTGTGCTAGCCTACCGTACAATGTTAAAATGTGCATCAGTTGCTCCGCCCATTTTTGGCCCTGGCCCCGCCCACCCCTGCCATGTGTCCAGCAGGGAATCTGTCCCTTGGGATGAAATCCTTTCCCCCTCCCCTGCTCTAGAGGAACAGATAAAGGCAGGAGAGACTTAATAACCCAACAAAGGAACTCCCATCACTGTAGAGCAGATGAAGCAGTTTGCTATGCACTTTAAAGTTAGGTGTGGATGAATAGTTGGCTCTCCAACTACTGCTCATCTACAGCTTTCATAATCGCTGGCCGATGCTTGCTGGAGCTGATGGGAGTTGTAGTTCAGCAACCTCTGGAGGGCCAAAGGAAGTGTTGCCAAAGAAGTGACCTGTAATCACCAACCAACCTACACCTAAGCTTCAAAATTCTGCTGAGCCCCCCCCCCCCCGGCCCATTAAAAACAATGGAGGCAACATCCAGCGCCATTCATACACCTGGAGTGGTAGAGAGAAAGACAGTCGGATACACAAAGTCTGGGGTCTCTTACCTTAGTGGAATGAAGAGAATCCCATTGATTATGTTCAGCTGCTCCAGGACGCTGGCCATACTGGGAGCTGTGAACTAAACGAAACAAGAGATTAGCTCATTAACCAACAAAATAAAAGCAACACATGGGGCTAAGAAACCAACACACAGTTCTAAGCAGCAAACAAAAATGCTGGGCTGCCTAAATGTGACCGTGGATCCTAGAGGCAGCCAACGCTCTTCCCCAGTATAAAGGAAGGTGGTGATGCGGGTAGCGAGTAGAACACAGGGTTTCTAACACAAACAGGACTGAGTGACTGGGTGACTGGGAAAGGCTCCTAGCAATGAGGATACGAACACTGGCTCAGGACCGCAATACCTCAAAGGATCGGCTCTCCCCCTATGAACCAACCTGGACCCTGCTGTCTTCATCTGAGGCCCTTCTTCATGTGCCTTCTCCATGAGAAATCCGGAGGGCAGCAACACAAGAACAGGACTTTTCTGCAGTGGCTCCTCATATGTAGAATGATCTCTCCAGGGAGGCGCGTCTGGCGCTTTCATTACATATCTTTTGGCACTAGGCAGAAGCATCTCTTTTCTTCTTGGTCTTCAGCTAATTAAACTATGGCCTTTTACACTTGGGCGGGGTGGGGGGAGGCATATTATTTTTTGTTTGTTACTATAGTAACAACATTTTTTAAAAAACATGCCTGGAATGGTATCTGGGAGCCAGGTGTACACCACACCTTGGGTTCCAGGTTGCAAGAAAGACAGGAAATAAATGCAAGTAAATAAAATGTATGCACTTCTCCACCCTTCTGAGCCTGATTCCCAAGAACAGGAACCCTTTAGGTCAGGTTAGGCTTAGAAGGGAGTTGTTTCCTGGCAGTTCAGTTGAGTGGGGAGGGAACAGGTCACCAAAGGATCATTATGCTGACTTCAGTTGCTTCATATCTGCACTACAATGACTTAAGCCTTGGTTTCATCTGCCATTTTTATCTTGCCTAGAGCCCTCAGTGCTTCACACACACACACACACACAATCAACAGTGTGGCTTTGACCCAGACCCAAGTTCAGGTCCCTGTCCAGCTGCGAAGTGGTCAGGCTGATCTTCAACAATCAGCTGCTTGACCCCCACCGCTCAAGGATACTGCAAAGACAAGCAATGCCAAGCTATGAGACAGGAAAACACCACGGCCGAGCTCTTGTGATGAGATGCGAGTAAAAATTCCCTGAGTAGTGGTGCAGTAGAGTAAACTGAACAGCACTCCTGGACACTGAAGTGTGCTACGCATTGCTGCTTAATTCCTCAGACAAGGGAAATCAAGAGGTACATCTTATGTCTTACTGCCAAAGCCAATCTGGGCAACTACCGCAGGGCAACTCACTTTCAAGGGCATAATGTTGGCGCTGGATCCGTTCTTGTAGATCTCATTCATTGTGCGTTGCAGGGCCACAGCCTGCTGAGTCAGATATTTCAAGTACTCCGAGCTTTCTTTGGTCTTATCGTGATGCTCACCAAGCTAGCCAAAAACACACAGAGATATTTATTAATACTTATATATATGTATTAAACAAATGCACATACATAACGGAAACAGAAGGTGTCCAATGTATTAAAGCAAAGCAAGGGCCTTTACCTGGTTTTTGTAGATCGTGTAGCCTTCCTTCTCGTGCTGCAGAGCCGACCGGAACTCAGCTTTGCTCTCGTACACTCGGGCGACCAAGTGGTGACTGCAGAGAGGATGCAAAGGGAAGACAGCAGAATGATGTTTCTGCGCATGGTTGAAAAGCGATCGCGACGTGGGTGAGAATTCGGTTGCAAAAGCAGGTCTGGCAGACGCCTCCCCACCAATTTAACACTCAACAGTGTTTGTCAGTACTTTCATATAACGTTTGATCAATTGCATTTCCGTGGCTGGCAGGTCACAATATACACATTTGCATATAATGCATATATTTTAGCTGCGAAAGCCCCTCCCTCCCTCCTGGGCAAACAACAGGATTGGGCGTTTCACCTGAGTGCAACTTTCAGAGACTTGGCGCCGTGGTACTTGGAGTTGATGAGCAGCGCGTTCTCCAGAAACCGCAGGGAGAGATCGTACTCCATCACTCCATGGAGGACCAAGCCAATGTTGTTCTAGGGGCAGAAGCAATGTTCCAGTGAGGCAGGGCCAGAAGTAGACCTTTAGTGCCAGAGCTGGCCTTCTCACAAACAAAAGAACTCCTAAGGAGCCCATCCCCCTAATCCACCCTCATGGCACATACAGGACACACAATGATCAGAGGTGTGGCAGGGGGCGAGAATCCCAACCCCCTATTTTTATGCAAAAGAAGAACTTCCGCTTGTCAGAAACGCTGCATAAAAATGAACGATCATCATAATCCTTACAATGCTGTATATACAATATTTTAAATCAAATCTGAAAACAAGGGACACAGGAAGATAGCAGTCTCTCCCGTCCCCCACAATCCGTTGCAGTTACTTTTGGTTATTGAGGGAATTTCTTAAAAAGATTTATACAGCACAGAATCAAGTCTGCTGGATCACAGAACTAGAAGCCCACAAGGGCAAAGGAAACTTGCGTTCCAAATTAGAAACGCAAAAGGCAGAGGTTTTTCAAGACGCTGCATCTCATTGGAAAAAGTCAAGTTCAGCTTTAGGTGTTCCGCCTGATGAAACCACACAGGCTCTTTAGCTGGGGCTCCAGAGACCCTGGCCGGCCAACAGCTAAACTTACATCCAAGAGTGCCATTTCTGGGTGATCTTCTCCAAAGACCAACAGCATGAGGTAGCGTGCGCGGTATAGCAAGTTGAGCGCTGTAGACAGCTGGCTGTTTGCAAAGCAGTACAAAGCAAGGTGCATCTAAAAGAGGCGTAAGAGAGAATCTGGTTGCAGATGAACAATTTAGACACACTAATCATCATCATCATCATCTCAACAAGAAACAAAACGGTTAAAAGTCAGAATCACCCGTCCTCGCTGTCCCCCCACCCCCCCAGATAATCTTTTCCTTCTGTTTCCAAAATTTGGACTGTGATGCCTTTTAGTTCCATGGTCCTAATTGGCATCATTTATAGTATTAGCAGCTGGAGGGGGAGGGGGATGGGGGTTTGGAGAAATACACGTATTTAGGATTTGGGGGTGGGTGGAAAGAACTCAAAGATAACCCGGTGAGGATAGAGTGTGTTCAGTGAGTGTAGAATACTGCTAGGATGAAGAAGATAAAATTTGCTTGCCGTTGGGGATGGAACAGGCTGCATCCTGAGCAGGCAGGACTTTGCACTGCAATGTTTTGTTGCAGAACCCCGCTGTCTCCAGCAAGGGAAGAACGCATAACCCACGGCTGCACCTGCACCTTATATTTAAAGAACTCTTATGCCGCTTTAAACAGTCAAGCGTTCCCCACAAATAATCCTGGGAACTGCAGGTTGTTATGGGTGCCTGGAGTTGTCGGGGGCACCCTGATCCCCATCACAGAGCTACAATTCCCAGAAAGGTTTAACCAACAACTCTCCTTCCTAGGGAGCTCAGAATTGTAGCTCTGTGAGAGGAACAGGAGTCTCCCAGCAACGCTCGGCACCCCTTAATAAACTACAGTTCCCTGGATTCTTTGGGGAAAGCCGTGACTGTTAAAATGCTATAACAATGCTTATTTTAGTGCATGGTGCAGATGTACCCCAACTTCCGGGGGGGGGGGGAGGAGAAACTCAAAACTCTGACACCAAACCCCAAAAGACTGTTGCTTGTAGGCAACAGATCTCAATGGTAGAAAAGTGGGCTGGTTTTTTTTTGGGGGGGGGACTTCAAATGCAAATGGTAAGGGGAATTGGAATGTTCTGATTTCAAGATCTCCCCGCATTGAGAAAACACAAAAGCTAGCACCTCAGGGAAAAGGGTTCTGACTTCTCCTTGAAGTGCTAGTTTTCTGTGGGCAAGGGGGTGTTCGCATGATGCTTCCTCCTTGCCTCCTCATCTGCCTGCTGCAGAATCCCTTCAACCCTCCCCGCTGTCTGCTACTTACATATTCCTGAATTGTGTTGGGGTGCTCTATCCCAAGGACTCTCTCGCTCATGAGCACTGCTTTCTGCTGGTTACTTAAGGCCTGGAACGAAAGGAAGGAGACAGAGTTGAAAAGCCAGGAAAACGTAAAACCTCCTCCGCCTCTCACAAAAAACCCCCAGGAGATTTTCGGGTTTGGGCTTCATAAAACCAGTTGTTGTTCTTTCTTGCTTTCTCAGAACGCTTAAACTATAGTTCCCAGGATTCTTTGGGAAGGAGTGTCAGCCTATAACCCAATGGTGTCATCCGACGAAGATAATTGGTGGGGGAGATTCGGGAGAGAAAAAGGAAGTACTTCTTCACACCATGTTATAGCTAAACATGCGGAACTCATTGCCACAAGATGTGGGCGAGTTCCCTCCACCAATTTGTCTAAACCCATCAAGGGATAAAAGTTATGATACTTCTACGGTTAGCCCTCAAGGTTTCAGAGGCAGGTGTCTTCTAAATACCATTCTCTGGGGAGTCAGCAGGAGGGATCTGTTGGTTCTCCTGCCCTGGTTGTGGGCTTCCCAGAGGCACCCGATTGGCCACTGTGGGAGACAGGTGGCCAGACTAAACAGTCCAACTGAGCTGGTCTCCTGCTTACGTAACGCAGAAGATTTGGGAGCAGCGAGAGGCCAGGACTGCCCGTACCTCTGAGTAGTCTCCCATGATGTAGTTCAGGCGAGACAAGAGACGAAGGCAGGCGCAGATTTCCATGTGCATGGCGCCATACACGTTGTTGAACAGGTTTAAGGCCTCGCTGATCAGCTCGCAGCCCTCCTTCAAGAAACCTGAAATGCGCAAAGAAAAAACACTCTTGAGATTGCAGGTGATGCTTAACTATAAGCAGTTGTTGGCATCCGTCTGTCTTGAGAGACAACAGAGTGCATCTCTGGAGGTGAAGTCAAAACCGCTGCATTAGCAGCACTAAAGTGACCAAGCCTGGGCAGTGCATATGGAGGCCCAAGTGACAAGACCCTCCTCTCGGCCTCACTGATGTGATCCAAAGGAAAGCAGAGCACCAGCTTGGCTGCAGGAATTGCTGGAAGAAGGCATGCAACACGCCATCCAACCATCTTAGATACTCGCTCCAGATTTGTGTAGGGTTTACCCCTTAGCCTTTTCTTCTGGATGTGGAGGATGTAAGCAGTGGAGGCTGGTTTTATCAGTGCAAATGGGGCACTGGCCCCACCGCCTCTCAATCTGCCCCCACCTTGCTGCTTACAACCAGTCGGGGAGGGGAGACGCCTCCTTTGTCTCCATATTGCCCACATGTAGAACTCAGCAGGGAGGAGGAAAAGGAGAAGGTTGCTGGATAGCTCAGTTGGTAGAGCACGAGAACGCTTCAAGCCCCACATTGGGCAAGCAATTTCTGCATTGTAGGGAGTTGGACTAGAAGACCGTTGCAGCCCCTTCAGTGTCTGCAATTCTACGAATTACGTGGCCATGTCTGCCGCTGGATCTGGCGCCACCTAGTGTTGGGCTCCCTGCATTCTGCCCTACCCTACCCCAATGACTGTGTTTGCAACATACGTGTTGCAAAATAAGTGCCTATCTCCCTGCCACATGCCTTGCACAGAGATCTGGGTAAACATTTGTTTTTAAAAAATTTATTTTTAAACCTCTCAGGAAGTCAGGATCCGGCATGTAAGAGCCCCTGGGCTGCCAAGGTTAAACCCCACCCCCAGGACCTATCCACCTTGGTTCGAAGCCGAATTCACAGCCAGTAGTACATTGCAAGTGATACCTTGCTGCACTTTCGCCTGGCCGCTTTGGAAGAAATGGAAGGCGTCCGAGGCTTTGGGGTTGACGTGCTTCACAACCGGGAAGATGTTGAGGATGTCCTCTTCTGTGAACGTTGGCTTGTGGCGGTTATCAAAGTTGTATTCTTTCAGAAGGATCTGAAACACAAACACACACAAATGCTTCCATACCTTTCCTAAGAGAAAAGGAAAAGCCAGTTGTTAAGTACCACTCTACGTTGCCTCGGTCCAACCCCAATTGGGAGTCCTGCGCCCGGGTTCTGGACGCCACACTTTAAGGCGGCTATCGACAAGCAGTGTTCTCAATGAGGGCTGATCCTAAGGGCTGCTGTTGCTTGCTTCCATAAAAAACTTTTTTGAAGCTTTTCTACAATGCAATAAAAAGCAAACTAATCTAACTAAACTTTCCAGAGATGGAAAGAAGATAAAAGTCTCTACTAGAGAAGAATGGAAGATTAAGTTGATGGATTATGCCAAAAAGGCAAAAATGGCCGGAAGAATCAGAAATCAGGAAGAAGACCAAAATTTTAATAAGGAATGGGGAGATTTTTATAATTTATCTTAAAAACCATTGTAAACTGCTAAAATCGTTAGTAGGACTGGAGTAACACTTGCAGTTTAATGGTGAATTTTGGACATTATGGAGAGGTAACAGATTTGGATTACAGTGGTACCTCGCAAGACGAATGCCTTGCAAGACAAAAAACTCGCAAGACGAAAGGGTTTTTTGTTTTTTGAGCTGCTTCGCAAGACTTTTCCCTATGTTCTTCCAGATGGAAGTCTTGCAAGTTTCGTTTCTTTTCTATACACTAAGACAGTCGACTTGACTGCGGGAGCAACTCAAGACCGTTAGCCTTTTTGAGTTTTAAAGACTTTGTGATTTTTGACTTCCTTCAAAATTTCTTCCACACCGTGCTTCGCAAGACGAACCCGACGACAACCACATCCGGAACGAGATATTTGTCCTTCGCATTCTGCGGATTATTCATAAAAGACCGCATGGCACAGGAAATGATTAACAACGAGACCACAAAGGAAAGAGGGTCCAACGGAGATTCTTTGATTTTATGTTGTTGCTATATGGCAGTGCTTTTTTTCCCTATTTAAAACAGTTAGGCTACTTCATTTTGACTACAAAATCACCACATTTTAATAGTTACAGTCCGGAAAAAATACGTACCAGTAAATGGAAAAAGTACAAAAGATTCACAAAATGTTTAGGGGTATGCGTACCCTCCCCATAAAAAGCACTATATAATATTATCTAAGCAAAAACAAAAGAGAAAAGAAAATGCAAATTCCTTTAATACCCTCCAATGATAATAGGGACATTTTCATCAGAGGAACTATGCAGAGTATGCTGCCCCTTCGGCATCTGTGTTTCTGCTGCCACCCCCACCCAGGATTTCTCACCCCCCCCAAAAAAACACCTGACCCTCAGTGACTGCTCTTTGAGTTCTGAGCTGCTCTGCAGCTGTGGGGTGGCGATGGCTCCTTGACCATAGCTAAGGAGGAGGCCTGGGTCTGCGCGTAATAGTGAGCCATGGTTAATGGTGACCAAACGAGGCTTGTAACCAGAAAACCTAGTCAACTATCTCATTTTAACAGTGATTTATAAACCATAGTTAAGCTGCAGGGGCTGGGTTCATGAGACCAGCTACAGTTAACTAAAACCATGGTTTATAAACCATGGCTCAGAGCAGATGTGGGGAATGTTCTGGCCCTCCAGTTGTTGCTGACCTACAATTCCCAACATCCCTGGCCACTGGCCATCCTTGCAGGGAGGAGTTGGAGTTCAGCCAACATCTGAAGGGCCAAAGGTTCCCCACGAGTTACAGATGAACCAGGCATCGTGGGCAACTCAATTGGGAGCCATCCTCTTAGTCACAGTCTTAAACTAAGAGTGTAGGTGGAGATTGCAGAATTAATTGGATTGGGCTCTACCAGGTGGTGTGTGGGTTTCAGGCCGCACCTATGACTGCTGAAGAACAGCAGCAAAATAATGGTTAAAATCCAGCAGTTACTGTACCTTTCTCCTGCCTCAAGCCAGAGTTCCTTCTTAGGGAGATTACTGAAGGGGATGCATGACAGTTTCTATCAGCAAAGCTAGAAATTAATCTTAGGTGGCATTGCATAACCTAGTGGCTGGCAGAACGCAATGCGTTCCTCCTGTTCGCTAGAAGAGCTCAGTAACTAAGAATGAGCGATTCCTCCCTCTTCCCTCCCAGTTCCTTTTCCTTTCGTGCTGTCACCCTTAAGATTTTGAGAGCTTAAGGCCTGGGGCTGTTTTACCGCTGATATTTGCAAACTTGCTTTGGGAGCCTTTTCCAGCTAAAGCGGTGTTTCTCAAACTTGGGTCTTCCGCTGTTGTAACTACAACTCCCATAATCTCTGACCACTGGTCCTGAGAGTTAGGGATGATGGGAGTTGTAGTCCAACCACAGCTGAAGACCCAAGTTTGAGAAACTGAGCTAAAGAGCAGGATAAAAATGCCTTTTAAAAATAGTCTATGTTCTTCCAAGTTGTGTTTGGAGGGGTAAGTGAGGGGGAAGAACTTGGAGGTTGTGTACGTTGTTCCCCACCTGGATTCCAGTTTTGAGGGAGATCTCACGTAGCAGGGTGACCTTCTGTAGACTGTACACTTCCACTGCTTGGTCAACACTCTCACTGCAAAAAAAGGAGAAGGGGGAGTCAAAAGGAAGCAACGCACCAGAGGGAGCCACATTTTCAAACTAGGACTTCACAGGGGAGACATTCCCAGATTTACCTGGGCATGTCGGGGATTGAACCTGGGACCTTTCCACACATAACACAGGTGCTTTAACCCTGAGCTACAACCCTACCCCCTAAGCTCTGCACTGCCCAAGTCACATCCTGCTGCCAGCCAAAGTAGAGAGCACAGGGCAAGATAGAGATGTAATCTGATGGTCTCTGGAGACCAGTATTGTGTGGAAAACCGTGGATCTCTCACCATGGACCGACAGCAATCCTTACACACAACAGCTGTGAGTTTCCTAGGTTTTATTTTTAAGAGACGTACCATTCCAAGCTGAAGTCAAAGTAACTTTTGGCTTCCGAACAAATGTTCTTCCACAATTCTTGAGGGCTCATGGTGGCCCAGGCAGTGTTGTCAGCGGCCCCCAAATTCCGATTTTTCCTCCTCTTGTTCTTTTTCTTGGAGACCAGCTCATCGGCCGGGAGATGGGCCACGGGGTTTGGGAAGGAGCTGAGGAAGCAGTTGAGGAAATGGCTGATGGCAGCTGATAAGCCCGACAGCTCCACTCCCTGTGGGAGGGAAAGAGGAGACCGTTAGCGCGCTACATGTTAGTGAAGTCAAATAATGCAAACGGAGTCCGGGGAGAAAAGTCCTTATTGAGCAAACCCAACGCAAGCAGTGTGTGATTTGAGGAGAAGGGAACAGAGAGGTTTCGTTTTCCTTACTTCAGGCCTTCTACATGGCAGGGAGACATTCAACCAAACATACAGAGGAAAACTCCCTCAGGACTACCCAGCTAATCATCTGTTCATTTAAAGATGTGTAAACTGCACTTTCATAAAAAACCATCGCAAGGTGGTATGCCGACTAAAAACACAGCATCACAATAAAAAAACTTAAACCACATAAGAAAGAGCTGGTTGGCAAAGAATCTCAGGTTTGAAAAGACTGCCCAAATAACATGTTTTTTATGAGACATCTTAAAACGAGCAGGGATGGCTCCTGCCCAATTTCTATTGGCAAGGTGTTCCACAGAGCTGGACCTACCATGCTAAAGTCTCATCCCCTGGTGACGGCCAGACGAACCTCAGGGATAAGTGGGACCACCAAAAGTGCCCCCTCAGAAGGCCTTGGCAATTGAGGAGGAGAAGGAATCAAGCAGTCCTGAAGGTACTTTCCATCTCTGAGGGCCTTCTGGCATTTCCCTCACTGCAAGAAGTGAAGTTACACGGAACCAGGCAGAGGGCCTTCTTGGTAGTGGCGCCCTCCCGTCAGATGTCAAGGAGACAAATAACTATACCACGTTTAGAAGACATCTAAAGTTAGGAAGTTTTTAATGTCTGATGTTTTACAGTGAAACCTTGGTTGCCGAATGTAATTCGTTCCGGAAGCTTGTTTGGCTTCCGAAATGTTCGACGACCGAGGCGTGGCTTCTGATTGGCTGCAAGAGCCTCCTGCACTCCAGCAGAAGCTGCGTCGGAGGTCTGGCTTCCAAAAAAACGTTTAAAAAGCAGAGCATTTACATTCGGTTCGGGAGCCGAAATGTTCTAAAACGGAGGCGTCCGGGAGCCGAGGTTTGACTGTCTTATGTTTTTATAAATGTTGGAAGCCTCCCAGAATGGCTGGGGCAACCCAGTTAGATGGGCAGGATACAAACAATAAAATTACTATTATTAATTCCTACTACTACTACTACTTTGTGTCCAGGTCATTCAGGCTTTGTGAATTAACAGGAGCTTGAACCTTGGATGGCAGTAAATCGATAACCAACAAAACCTCCGAGAATGATTACAGTGGTGCCTCGCAAGACGAAATTAATTCGTTCCGCGAGTTTTGTCGTCTTGCGATTTTTTTCGTCTTGCGAAGCACGGTGTCGGGAAAGTTTTGGAAAAGCTTCAAAAATCACCAAAGTCTTCAAAAACCTCAAAAAAGGCTACCACACCGCGTGCTATGAGTTGCTCCTCGAAGTCAAGTCGCAACTGTATTAACGGTGTTAAGAAAAAAGAAACAAACTTGCAAGACGTTTCCGTCTTGCGAAGCAAGCCCATAGGGAAAATCGTCTTGCGAAGCAGCTCAAAAAACAAAAAACCCTTTTGTCTAGCGAGTTTTCCGTCTTGCAAGGCATTCGTCTTGCGAGGTACCACTGTAGTTGCATCTTCTGGATCAGATTTGCCCAAAAAGTGAATGAAATGAAACAAAGACTGAACTGGATTTTTGGGGGGGGCAGGGAGCTATTACACTGTGGGCGTCCCTCCCCAGCTGAGGCATCCGGATGCCAGAAGCCCCATGTGGGATTCCACACACACACACACACACAACTGTGGAAGGCGGCTGGGAGACCCAACTAGCATGCAAAGCATTTTGGAGGAGTCACTGCTCTGGAAACAAACCCAAGCAGATTGCTGCATGCGCTGAAGAAGCATTTTTGGGGGATGGGGGGGGTGGAGAAAAAGGAACCCTATGCAAGCCCCCCCCCAAGCTTCTCAGGGATCTGGGAACACCAGGCTTTCATTAACTGCGCTGTGGGTCTGACACAAGTTCACACAAACACTTGCCCCTCCTTGTTAAAAACCTTTCCTGCTGAGCGCAAAAGACAAAAACACAAGCTCAGCCATGAAGGAATAGTTTTTGAATCTCTCTCTCTCTCTCTCTCTCTCTCTCTCTCTCTCTCTCTCTCTCACACACACACACACACACACACACACCACACACACAGACAAGTTGCCACTGGTTCTCCCTCAACCACACAGGCCTGCTCTTATTTTAGGCCTTAATGAGATTGTGCTTCCGGTTGCTAGGCAACCTGTGCAAGAAGCCTAAGGAGGAAATGGCTTCTCTCTTGATCTGGGAAGACCGGGACTGGGCGGGGGGAAGGCAGAGAGAGAGAGAGAGAGAGAGAGAGAGAGAGAGAGAGGCAACCCTTGCGCAGGAGAGGGCATGTAAGGGAAGGTGTTTGGGGTTGCATAATCCGATTTGTACCTGAAGGTATGTCTTGAAGATGTGCTTGGCCGACCGGGTGATCAGTTCTGTGATTCCAATTTTCTGTTCCAAGGAAACAAATTGGGGGACGGACGGACACAAAAGAGCAAACAGGTCAAGCAGGAGACAAGAAACACATTGAACCGCCGACCTTCTGATCGGGAAGCCCAAGAGGCTCAGTGGTTTAGACCACAGCATGTACCCAGAAAATCCCGGACGTATGGCAGCCCTAATATATGTGGGCTTTTTTTTTTTTAAAGCTGCGGTTCATGAAAGACAAATTATCCCAGCTGGATCTCTGCCAGGGCAAATAATCCTCAAGAAACAACAACAACATTTATTTATTTTTAAGTGTCAATTAGAGGTTGGGGAAAAAAGAAATAAACTTTTGAGGCTTACATAGATGTGATCTAGCTGAGCCCGGCCAGGGGTCTTGGTGATGAATTCCACCACTCTGCCCAGGTAGCGCATGTTGATGCCTCGCTGGTGCATGGCTTCGGCCAAGGTGCCGCCGTCCATCGGGAGCATGGTGTGGTCAAGGCAGTCTTTCACCTGCCAAGGAAGAAGAAAACACACAGCAGAATTTAGCAAGCCTGGCTTTTCTGCATGCAGAAGGTTCAATCCATAATTACATCTCCAGACAGAAATGGGAGAGTCTTCTGGTCTTAAGCACCTGCCAGTCCGTGCGGACAATATTGAGCTAGATGGTCTAGGCCGTTCCTATGCTATGCCGTTCCTATGTAAAGACTGCTCCCCACCCTCTTCTCTCCCCCCTTCCTCCTGGTGCAAATTCACTCACCAAGCCTGGGATTTGATAGGACACCAGAAAAGCAGCCGCGTCCTTTAGCAACCGCTTCTGATCCTGAATCTGCTCTTTGCTGGACTCTGGAAAGCGGACCCCTATGAAAACAGGAAAGGAAGATCAGCCAGCTGGAAAAGGAAGCTGGAAGATCAGCCAGATGGGAAAAGGGCCATATATATATGTATGTATGTATATATATATATATATATGCGTGCATGCTCGTGTGTATGTACACACACATACGCACACTTATTGCATGTAATTTAAATTAACAAGTTTAAATTTAAAAATACAGTACTAAAAAGAGGGTGGGTGTCTGGGGAGAAACAAAAGGTTTTCACAATCCCACCCACCACTGGCTAGATGGGAGTTTGGCTTTTGTGTGCTATCCCTGGAATGTAACTGCTGTGTTAAGCTGAGAGTTGCCTTTATGGCATATATTTCTGTTAGCAAGATTTTGCCAAGTTCTGCCCAACTCTGCCGGGGGGGAAAAATACACACCTCTCAGAATTGGCCAAAGCTGCCTCCCCTTCAATGTTAACCCTGGGGAAGGATGGTTAGCTAGGAACTTTCCTGCAGCAGGTCAGAGAGTGGCCTGCATTCACACATTGCACTAAACCATAGCTTAGAATGAACGATATGGAAATCATGGGGCTCACAGCAGGCCCACCCCCCTTTTGCCCAGGATAAGATAGGACTAGTGTGGTGTAGTGGTTAGAGGGCTGGAGTAGGAGACCAGGCCATGAAGCTCAGTGGGAGACCTTGGGCCAGTCACTCACTCTCAGCCCAAGCTACTTCACCGTTAGGATAAAAATGGGAAGGGGAGGGGGAAGTATGCAGGCCACCCAGAGCTCCTCAGAGGAATTGAATGAATGAATGAATGAATGAATGAATGAATAAATAAATAATAAAAACCTTCCACTTTCGCTCCAGGTCAGAACCCATCAATTCAACCAGACAGATTGCTTAACATGGTTTCAAGCCATTACAGAATTTTAGAGTTGGAAAGCACCCTGAGGATCGTCTAAATCAGTGATGGCCAAACTTGGCCCTACAGTTGTTTTTGGACTACAAATCCCATCATCCCTAGCTAACAGGACCAGTGGTCAGGAATGATGGGAACTGTAGTCCCAAAAACCAGTTGGAGACCCAAGTTTGGAAAACCCTGACTAGTCCAACCCCCTGCAAGGCAGGAATATGCAGCCGCCCCATAGGGGGATCGAACCTGCAACCTTGGCGTTACCAGCACCATGCTCTAACACAGTGTTTCCCAACCTTGGGCCTCCAGCTGTTTTTGGACTGCAACTCCCATCATCCCTAGCTAGCAAGACCAGTGGTCAGGGATGATGGGAATTGTAGTTCAAAAACAGCTGGAGGCCCAAGGTTGGGAAACAATGCTCTAACAAACTGAGCTATCCACCCATGTCAGTTTGTACGCCATCTTCTCTTGGTTTAGCGATGGTCAAAGTAATGGGTTGTACTTCAATGTTAGTCCCACTTAGAACAGATCCACTGAAAATAATGGACATGACTAACTTGCAGTCTATTTATTTCATGGGACCGACCTACTCTGAATATAAACTTAGCTTGCTACAACCCAATGTTAACCAGTTTGGACAAAAATGGGCTCAGCTATCTACGGTTTGTGCCAGCAGAAGCAGATGCTTCTGAGCTTCTCCTAGCAATTGCACAGGAAGCGTGTGTTGGCCCCAAGGCTTGCTGCGGATCCTATAATTGTGATTTATTTATTGATTATAGCATTCACACCCCACTTTTCCTCCAAGGAGCTCAAGAGGGCGTACGTGGTTCTCCCCTCCTGTTTCTCACTGTTTCTTGCAGCTTAGGAGCTGCTTTGATGATCGCTGACAAGAAAGGCAGGATCAAGATGCATTGGGGAAAAATACAGAACTGGAGATGCTGGGTGGATTAAAAGCTGGGAGCTTCTGTGTGCAGAGCATCTCTTAAGTGTCCGAAAGAAAACACACAGACGTCTAAACTCAAAAGGGTCAAACACTTGAAGGGGTTACGTGCTGCAAAGGACTCCAAGCGCACCTGAGGCGCCTTCTTACCTGGCGAAAAAATATCTGGGTTAAACCGGATATCGAAGGACGTGTTGCTGATGGAACCGACAGCTTTGCAAGCATTCTGGATCACTTCCCGGCTTTTGGGGTCCACTGGGTGAAGGAGAAAAAATAGGTTGCAGAGCAAATGTGGGGGACCTTTTCCGCTTCATGGAATCACAGAACTGTGTAGCTGGAAGGGACCCCAAGAGTCATCTAGTCCAAGCCCCTGGAATCTTTTTGCCCAATGTGGGGCTCGAACAAACGACCCCGAGATGAATAAGAGCTCTACCGACTGAGCTAAGCATGTAAGTCACGACCAGCATCCTTATTGGGATTGGCCTTCATGGGCCAAATTTGACAGGTGGGAGGGGCTGCGGACCTTTCAAACCCATGACATCACAAAACAGCTGCTAAAATGAAGACTACCCCCCCTTTTCCATTTTAAGCAGAGCTTTCAAATTTGCTTATTGATTCAGGAAGGGCTTTGCATGGAATGTTGCTGACTTGAGCAGGATTTGAACTCTGCTCAGCAGATGATGTGATTTTATCATTTGAACCACCCTGAAGCCTGTGGGTATACGGTGATATACAATACAGTGGTATCTTGGTTCTCAAACGCCTTGGTATTCAAACAGCTTGGAACCCAAACGCTGCAAACCTGGAAGTAAGTGTTCCGGTTTGCGAACTTTTTTCGGAAGCCCAACGTGCTCCGATTTGAGTGCCACACTTCCGTTTTGAGTGTTACACTGAAGTCTGTCTGTTTTTGCTATTTATTTTGCGTTTCTGTTTTTGTGGCTCTTTTTGTTTGTTTTTGTGACTGTGTGGAACCCAGTTCAGCTACTGATTGTGTGACTGCAGTACATTGTTTGGATCAATGGTCTCGTTAGAGAGTAAAATTCATGTTAAATTGCTGTTTTAGGGGTTGTTTTTAAAAGTCTGGAACGGATTAATCCGTTTTGCTTTACTTTCTATGGGAAAGTGCACCTTGGTTTTGGAATGCTTTGGTTTTGGAATGGACTTCCGGAACGGATTAAGTTTGAGAACCAAGGTACCACTGTAAAATAAAGGAGGAGGAGGAGGAGAAGTGATGGCAGCTGATGAGCGCTGAGTGTGTTCTGGGTAAATGTCACACGTAGCCAATGCAAAATTTAACCCCACCCATCAGATGATGTCACAAGTGGGAGCGGGGAGAACAACCTCACTGGCCAACTTGGACCCTCTAGTGGGCAAAGGTCAGCTGACAGGCTGGAGGTTCCTGACCCCCAACTGCAAAGGTGGAAGAAGTGTGACCTTCCAGGTTCAACTGGAAAAACCTAAAGCCTGCCAGTTTCATGATGTCCTTGTACAAATCTGTGCTGCATCTGCTTGGGAATTTTTGTGTCCAGTCCTGGTGCCACTCACCTCTTCCCAAAGGACAACCAAAATGATCCAAAGGTTGACGTTCTTTCCCAAAAGGAGATGAGGGAGATTTGGCCTAGCAAGGGTTTTTTTTTGGGGGGGGGGGATAATGTAACCGAGAAGGGACGTGGGTGGCGCTGTGGGTTAAACCACAAAGCCTAGGACTTGCCGATCAGAAGGTCGGCGGTTCAAATCCCCGTGACGGGGTGAGCTCCCATCGTTCGGTCCCAGCTCCTGCCAACCAAGCAGTTCAAAAGCACCTCAAAGTGCAAGTAGATAAATAGGTACCACTCTGGCAGGAAGGTAAACGGCATTTCCATGCGCTGCTCTGGTTCACCAGAAGAGGCTTTGTCATGCTGGCTATATGACCCAGAAGCTGTACGCCGGCTCCCTCCGCCAATAAAGCGAGATGAGCGCCGCAACCCGAGAGTTGGCCACGAATGGACCTAATGGTCAGGGGTCCCTTTACATTTACCTAATGTAACCGAGGGAACTCACTACCATCAAATGACTTTGTACCAGCCTTTAAAAAGGCAGGCAAGCAAATGCATGGAGAAGACCTGTGCACAGCTATGAGGTCCGATGGTCAAATGGATCCTATGGGTTCAGACGCAGTCTACCTCAGATCCAGCATAAAAACCCCATTCTTATGAGTGGAAGGGCTTCTTCATGCACAGGAAGGGGGGTCTTCCTCTTTTTTGGGGTGGTGGCAGTGTTCCCAGTGGGAGAGAGTGCCAAGTTACCTGCTCCATCGTCCGACGCAATCGTCTCCGTGAGCTCTTTCACCTGGTCCAGCCCTGCGACGCTGTCCTCCATCTTGCCGTCCTCCGAGGGGGGCTTCTCCTCACCGTCCTCCACCCCGTTCTCGGGAAAGGAGGAGGAGGAGGATGGGCTCCCGCCGTTCTCCAGAGGGGAGGGGGTCTCTTGCTTGATCGCCTTCTGCTGCATCAGCTGCAGCGCTGCCAATTTCATGAACATGAGATACCTATCGAGGAGAGGGAGGAAGAGAGACGGGATGAAGTAGCCCAACGCAAAAGGGGTTGCAAGAACACACATATTTCTAGCACCACCTTTTATCCAAGAAGTTTAAGGTGGGGTGCAGGGGTCTCCCCCCTCCCTCACTGTATCCTCACAACCACCCTGCAAAGTAGGCAAGGCTGAAAAGCAGCCACTGGCCCCTCCAAGGTTACCTAGTGAGATTCATGGTCAAGTGGGAACTTGAACCCTGGTCTCCCAGGTCCTAGTCTGGCACTGTATCACAGTGGCTCCCTTCTTGGTTTGGAGCAACGGCTACACACAGCCCTCAAAGCTTCCATCACGAGGGCTAGAAACTTGGGGTTTCTGTTTGTGATGATGTAGGATTTTGGGAGCCACAGGTGAGCTGGAAAATGCCCTCGGAAACTTACAACAAAACATTAAAAAGGTAAAGGGGCCCCTGACCATTAGGGTCCAGTCGTGGCCGACTCTGGGGTTGTGGCGCTCATCTCGCTTTATTGGCCGAGGGAGCAGGCGTACAGCTTCCGGGTCATGGGGCCAGCAGGAATAAGCCGCTTCTGGCGAACCAGAACAGCATACGGAAACACCGTTTACCTTCCCGCCGGAACGGTACCTATTTATCTACTTGCACTTTGACATGCTTTTGATCTGCTAGGTTGGCAGGAGCAGGGACCGAGCAATGGGAGCTCACACTGTTGCGGGGATTCGAACCGCTGACCTTTTGATCGGCAAATCCTAGGCTCTGTGGTTTAACCTACAGCGCCACCCCTGTCCCAACAAAACATTATGCAGCTCTAAAACCAATGGGAGGTTGGACTGGGCATGTTTGGGCCCAAGTGTCTGCCGTTGTTAATTTTTCACACTGCAAAAATACCTGAAGAGATTCCCCCGCTGCTCAACTGCCGATGGACTAAAATTTGGTTTACTCAGCGGGTGGATGCTAGAAAATGAAGTATGTTCGATATGTAATATTCAAACTCAAAACTTTACTCGACAATACTGAAAGGTATCTTAACTGCACAGCCTCCCCTTCTATAATATAACACTTAAGAAAACAATTGAAGGCGGTGAAAATTTTTTCACGCGCAATCCTGTGTCTGCTCCACAGACAATTTCAGCAGACACCTCGTATCATAAGCACGGCAGTTGATACGTTTCCGAGCACAATTAAAAGTGTTGGTGCTGAGCTTTAAAGCCCTAAACGGCCTTGGCCCTGTATACCTCAAGGAGCGTCTCCACCCCCACCATTTGGGCCAGACACTGAGGTCCGGCACCGAAGGCCTTCTGGTGGTTCCCTCATTGCGAGATATCAAGTTACAGGCCTTCTCGGTAGTGGCACCCGCCCTGTGGAGTACCCTCCAACTATATGCCAAGGAGATAAACACACAACTTTCCAAAGACATTTGAAGGCAGCCCTGCATTGGGAAGTTTTAACGTTTGACGTTTGCTGCGCTTTTATTATGTTGGAAGCTGCCCAGAGTGGCTGGGGCAACCCAGTCAGATGAGTGGGGTATACGTAGTAGTAGTAGTAGTAGTAATAATAATAATAATAATAATAATAATAATAATAATACCTCAGGGCTCCCACTCTCCTCTAGCTTACACCCCTCCCCAGCCTGCTCCAGATCAAACTCAATTGCTTTTCCCTGCCTGAACTCTCATAGCCCTTGCATGGTTGAAACGCAACTTATTGTACTAAGCCAAAAATCAACACCATTGCTCTGCCCACCTCTGCCTCTGGCCCCGCCCCTATTGACATTTGGCCCCTGGAAGGTTGCCCAAGAAGGAACGTGGCCCTTGGGCCGATGAGGTCATTTACTACCCCCCCCCGGACAGAAACCTAGTGCAGCGATGCAAAAAGCCTGAATAGCTTAGTTGGTGAGAGCGTGGCGCTGATCACACCAAGGTTGCAGGTTCGAGCCCTGCTTTGCCGGGGGGAGGGGGGTTGGACTAGATGATCCTCAGGATCCCTTCCCACTCCATGAATTCTCTATGAATTCTGGGCGGTGGCGAGGGTTACCTGTGCTCGACGAAGGCGTCCACCAGCTCTTGCCGCAGGCAGCAGAGCTTGTGGCGATGCTGTTTGGGGAAGCCCATTTTCTGGCATTCCTCAGGCATCTCCTCGCCGTCGACGGGCAGGAAGTTCAGGTCGGGAGGGAAGGTGCGGAGCAGGTCGAGGATGTAGTGGCGCCCGTCGTTGCCGATGATCCCCTTGCACTCCACGGACGAGCAGAGCTCCACCTCCTCGCCCTTGTCGTTCAGGACCGCGTGCTTCTGGATCTTCAGGGGCCGGCTGGTCTTCTCCAGCAGCTCCAGGTACTTGGGGTGAGAGACCACCGTCTTGCCAAAGTCGATGGAGCCGTAGATGACACTCTGCTCCTGCTCCCGCTCCAGGATGCCAGGGATGATGGACTGGGCCGTCACCCGGTAGCCCCGGTAGTCCACCACCACCGTGCCCAGGGTGTAGAGCCCTTCCACGTCCACCGCATTGTACGTCCGGACCCCGTTGAGGTCGTTGGTGGGGGCCACGTAGGCGGCCACGTCCCCGCCAAAGTCTTTGTAGTGGTCGCGGACGTCGAAGCCCAGGCTGAAGAAGATGTTGTTCCAGATGAACATCTGCATCTTGGTCTCCTCGCTGGGGTTGATGGCCATCACGTTGCCGTCAATGACCGCCATCGCGCCTCTCGTCGCCGCGGCAGTGAAGTCGCTGTGGACCTGTGAGGCAGAGAGGCAAAGTCATGGGAGATGGTCGGCCGCAAGGAGAGATGGCACTCGCCAGCCTCAGAGCAGCAGTGGACAGGAGCGAGCCATCAATAAACATAATGTTAATATAATTATTTCCTATTTCTCATTGGGTTTTTTTAATACATGGTTTTTAACTCTACATTTAATAGTATGCTTTAAGTATTGCATTGTGTTTTATGTGCGCCGTTTTTCTTCTTGTCTTCTCTACTGGTAATTGACCAACATTAATATATATACAATCGTACCTTGGACCCCAAATGCCCTACAACTCGGACGTTTTGGCTCCCAAACGCAGCAAACCCAGAAGTGATTGTTCCGGTTTGCAAACGTTCTTTCGGAACGCGAACGTCGGAGCTTCCTGCAGCCAGTCAGAAGCCAAGATTTGGTTTTCGAACGTTTTGGAAGTCGAACAGGCTTCCGGAAGGGGTTCCATTCGATTTCCAAGGTACGACTGTACATTAGTAAATCATAACAGAATTCTGCACGGGAGGGTCAGGCCTAATGAGCACAGCAACTCATCTCCACCAGGCCTTGCCTTACGAAGCAGTTGCTGAGACTGAAGGTCCTAACAGCTGCCTAGTCTCCTCCTCTCTAGGGTCTTCCCCACAAGATCTGAGACTACGCCTGCATGAAGCTAACTTCTCCTCTGCCCTCTTCATGCCTCTCCTGGTCCTGGGAGAGGTAGGAGAGGAGCTCGTTGCAGTAGGAGGCGATACCCTGACTTCTTCACCAGCCTGACTCATCTCCGACTCTTGACCTCCCTCCTCTCCTGCTTCCGGACTTCTGGAGTCATTGTCCCACCACCAATCCCCTGGGCTCTGAGCCTTCTCCCCCTGCGAGTTCCCCAGCTAGTTCCTTCCACCATTCCTCCATGTCCAACCAATCCATGACATCAGACCTGTCTGGGAAGCACCTGGCATAAATTAAACCCAAAACACCATTCAAAACACACAATAAATATTTTTAAAAAACCAAATAAGCTGCAGCCAATGCTAGTCCTACTCAGAGCAGGTTTGCTGAAAAGAATTTAGTTATTTTATTTATATCCCACTTCTCTCCCAGTCCAGAACCCAGTGGCTCAGAGCATAAATTACAACGTATACAACCAAGAGCACACAGTAACACTCTCTCTCTCTCTCTCTCTCTCTCTCTCTCAAATCGAATAAGCAGCCCACTTAAAAACAGCACAGGAAAACCCTTAACATCATTTAGAAGTGCACACACGCAAACACACATGACAGCACCCACCCTCAGTAGATCCTGCCACAACAGCCAGCTGGTGGCCAAAGGTCTGTTGGAATGAAAATGCATTTGCCTGCTGGAGAAAGGAAAGCAAGGAAAGGACTGGACTGGCCTCCTGCGGAAAGGAGTTCCAACTATCTGAGAGCAGCCACCAAGAAGGCCTTCTCTTGTGAAGGTGGTAGGACCGAGGGAAGGGCCTCTCCAGATAATCTCCAAACTCAGGCAGGCTTAGACTTGGTCCTTCAGAGAGCCAAGGCCCAAGATCCATAGGACTTTGTAGGTCCTAAATAAGCATAAGACGGACGTGGGTGGCGCTGTGGTCTAAACCACTCAGCCTCTTGGGCTTGCCGATTAGAAGGTTGGCGATTCGAATCCCTGCGACGGGGTGAGCTCCCGTTGCTCTGTCCCAGCTCCTGCCAACCAAGCAGTTTGAAAGCACACCAGTGTAAGTAGATAAATAGGTACTGCTGCGGCGGGAAGGTAAGTGGTGTTTCCGAGCGCTCTGGTTTCTGTCACAGTGTTCCATTGTGCCAGAAGTGGTTTAGTCATGCTGGCCACAGGACCCAGAAAGATGTCTGCGGACAAACACCGGCTCCCTTGGCCTGAAAGCGAGATGAGTGCTGCAACCCCATAGTCGCTTCTGACTGGACTTAACTGTCCAGGGCTCCTTTACCTTTTACCTTTCAACAAGCATAATCCAGGCATGGGAATGCGTTGCCAGCCTGCTCTGTTATCACTCTCGTTCTCAGCAGCAGACAGGATTATTCCTGGCTGAACTTTCTTCATAAATTAGGCAGTAGAAACGGAGGCTTTGGATGCACTGAGTGGAAGACTAAGAGTCATAGGGGTGGCAAGAGGGAGAGAGAACCCCACAGTGCTTTGTTTCTTTTGGGTTGTTAGTTTGCCAATGTTCATACTGCTTTGTGCTGAAACACTTTGTGAATTTCATGACTTTTCTTGTGGTTGTGCCGTTTTGCCTATTTTTAAAAAAACTTGTTTTGTTAAGTGTTTTACTGATGATTTTTAATTTGTTCCAACTGATGACTTGTTAGTTAATTTACATGATTTATGTTGAATTTGGGACGCGGGAGGCGCTGTGGGTTAAACCACAGAGCCTAGGACTTGCCGATCAGAAGGTCGGCGGTTCGAATCCCCTCGACAGGGTGAGCTCCCGTTGCTCGGTCCCTGCTCCGGCCAACCTAGCAGTTCGAAAGCACATCAAAGTGCAAGTAGATAAATAGGTACCACTCTGGCGGGAAGGTAAACGGCGTTTCCGTGCGCTGCTCTGGTTCGCCAGAAGCGGCTTAGTCATGCTGGCCACATGTACGCTGTATGCCTGCTCCCTCGGCCAATAAAGTGAGATGAGCGCCGCAATCCCAGAGTCAGCCACGACTGGACCTAATGGTCAGGGGTCCCTTTACCTTTACCTATTGTGCTATTGTCATTTATTGTATGTAAGCCGCTTTGTGGTTTGTGTGAGTAAAAAGTGGCATAGAAACAGAATGAATGAATGAAATTATGTTTTGAGGAGGTTTGCAGCTGTGCTGTGTGTCTTCCCCAACACACCACCTGGGCAACTCTGAACAATTCCTTATCAGTTTAATTTGTTATCCACCCACCCCTCCTTCACACATACATCACAGGGCACCCTGTTCCAAACTCCCTTTTCCAGTTACTGAGCAGCAAACTGAAAACTGAAGCTGTGCTCATGGCTTGGCTGCATAATGAGGACTAGAACCTTGCTAGTCCTCTCTGGGCTGCCTCTCTGCAGGGCTCAAGGTTACCTTAAAGATTGCGCGTTCCCTCAGCAGCCTCTCTGGCAGATTTTTGCGTGGCAGTTCCCTGGTTGTTTGCAACTCTTCGTTCCAATCTCTGGTCTGAAAGGAAGGTTGGGGAAGAAGAGATAACAGGCATCACATGAAATCACAACTCTAGCCTGGGAAAGAGAGAGAGATGCAAAACTTGCAAGGATGTTGCCACTCTCTAGATCAGATGAAAAGGGGATTAAGAGGCCCCATATATCTTTGCCCAGCAACTGCACTGCTGCCAAGTACCACCACATGCCCCAAAGAGGTGCTCAGTATGTACTAGAAATTGGGCTTTTAGTGATGCAGCTTCAGACTCCTGGAAACAGTTACCAGCTCAAGTTAGGCAAGGGTGTCTGGTGCCTTGCTATTTAGGTGGCTACTGAACAAATTTTTGTTTAAGAAGGCTTTTCCTGAAGTGTGACCCAGGCACGTAATGGAGTATTAACTGCACGGTTGCAGAAACTGTTGTATTGCTTTCAGTTTATTAATTTGGTAATCTTTTGAATTTTATCTTATTATGCACTGCTTTGGTAGTTATTGGCTGTGAAGAGATTTATAAAATGGAAAATAAATAAATAAATAAATAAATAAATAAATAATAATAATAGATGCACACAGGACCAGTTAAGATTTCATTATCTTAACTTTATGTTTCTTCTGCCCTCAAGAGAACTAGAAATGGATGCTGAAGGGTAACATTCCCCCCACCCTACCCCCAGGCATGGCAAGTGTGTGCTAGATATCAAAAAGTAAAAATCTGAATTTTTTCTCCTTTTCTTTTCTCTAATTGTTATGTTAAAAAAAGCTTGATATTTCTTCTTTGTTCTTTCAAGGTTTAATTTTTTAAAAAGAAGACAGCCAAGGGTGGTATAATGGTTAACGTGCTAAATTATTATTATTATTATCATCATTATTATTATTCATTAAATTTATATACTGCCCTTCATCAAAAGATCTCAGTGCAGTTGACAGAATAAAATACAAAATAAAACACAGGTAAATAATTAAACCAGAACAATAACGCCCCCTTCTCACAGAAGCATTTAAAAAGCTGTAAGGTATGAATAAGGCCTGGTTGAAGAGGAACATTTCCGCCTGGCACCTAAAAATATATAATTTTAGGCACCAGGCGAACCTTCCTGGGGAGAGCATTCCAGAAATGGGGAGCCACTACAGAGAAGGCCCCGTTCTTGTGTAGCCGCCCTCTGGGCCTCTCGAGGAGGAGGCACACAAAGAAGGGCCTCAGATGTTGATCTCAGGGTCTGGGTCGTTTCATGGGAGAGGTGGTCCTTGAGGAATGCACAGACTGCAGAGAGACCCCAAGGGCAAGTTTCAGCCGAGAGCCAAGGCGAAGAGCAGCCCCCCAAGCCAAGCCAAGCTATCTCTACCTGTCCTGGGATGTGCTCTTCGTAGCCCAGCCTTGAGGTGTAAGCATCTTCCGCCCTCACACAGTCCATGGCGTGCTCAGCCAGAGGGGCCGTCCAGCTGTAGACTTGGAAAGGTGTGGATATCCTCTCCAGCGGGTGTCTCTGGACCCTGGGGGTAGAGTCAAACAATGCACAGAAGTTGTTGCGCTCCATTCTCCTGCAAAGCGGCCCCATCTTTTCGCCACCCCGCTAAAGACCACGAGACTGATCAAACTCAAATGAGGAGTCTTAGGAGCCAAGCTTTCGAGCAAAGGCCATCTTCTCTTCTTTCCAGTCAAGCGTCTTCATCTAAACTGCTCCCTCTCCTGTTTTCTGATTTAAGTCACTGCTTTCTGTACTTTGCCTGGCTTTAACTGCCTTGTAACACATCTCTCGTCGTTTGATGCGATGGGGGTAGAAAACCAGAAACCCTCCCTGTACTTTTGCTACACCTTATCTGCCCGTTTATAAGGGACATGGGTGGTGCTGTGGGTTAAACCACAGAGCCTGGGACTTGCCGATCAGAAGGTCGGCAAGATGAGTGCCGACTCTGGAGTTGCAGCGCTCATCTCGCTTTATTGGCCGAGGGAGCCGGTGTACAGCTTCCGGGTCATGTGGCCAGCATGACTAAGCCACTTCTGGCGAACCAGAGCAGCGCACGGAAACGCCGTTTACCTTCCCGCCGGAGTGGTACCTATTTATCTACTCGCACTTTGATGTGCTTTCGAACTGCTAGATTGGCAGGAGCAGGGACCGAGCAACGGGAACTCACCCCGTTGTGGGGATTCGAACTGCTGACCTTCTGATCGGCAAGTCCTAGGCTCTGTGGTTTAACCCACAGCGGAACCCGTGTCCCAAAATTAAATGTAGGCAGGTGCTTTAAGTCAAGTTAGGCCACTGGGTCCACCTAGCTCAAGGCTGTCTACACTGGTGTACAGTAGGGTTCCAGACAAGAAGACTGTCCCAAGTCCTACCTGCAGACGCTGGGGACTGAACCTGGGTCCACTCACATGCAAAGGAGATGCTCTACCCACTGAGCTATGGGAGGGGGTTGGACTAGATGACCCCTGGGTTCTCTTCCAACTCTACAATTCTATGACTGTGCTAGATGGACCTTGGCACCCTACACATTTTCAAGCTCATCTTTCCAACCACCTTAAAAGGCTAGAAATTTGAGGTTTGTATTTGGAGGAGCAGGAAACAAGATTGATTTTATTTCATTTATTAAATTTGTAGATCGTCCTTTATCTAAAGATCTCAGGGAGGTTCACAGAATAAAACCACAAAGAACATAATAAGAACAAAACAAACCAATAAAATGTCATCGTTCTAGACCAGGGTTTCCCAAACTTGGGTCGCCAGGTTTTTGGGGGAACTACAATTCCCATCATCCCCGACCACTGACTCTGCTAGCTATGGATGATGGGAGTTGTAGTCCAAAACAACAACACCACACCAGCTAGAGACCTAAGTTTGGGATAAAGTTTGTTCTAGACAAGATGTTGGGGTGGAGTTGGGGTGGGGAGAGAGAGGAAGGTTACCGTTTCTTCTGAAGAGAAGCAAAGTTTCTTTTGAAGGCTGGGCTGATCTGGTTCAGAAGCTCGACCAGGGAATGGCTGAGGAAACTGGGGTTGGCAGGCTTAGGGCTGAAGTTGTAGGCCGTGGACCTGAAAAGAGAAGCCGCCGGCAGCATATTTTGGTCAAAGAACATCGCAAGGAACTGCCTTTCAAATAATCCACAATTTCCCCCCAGTCTGTGATAAAATTTTCTTTCCTCTTGGTTCCTTTATTGCTCCCGTATGTTCTGCGATTTCGGCATCAGCCGTTAGTTTAGTCTGCCGCCACTCCTTGGTTGGTACTGAAAATCTTCTTTCTGTTTCTGAGCATAAATAATCCTGCCTGCAGTCATGGCATAACTAACTCCTGATTTTATATGTACCTTATATGTTGTACAAATGGTTTTTTTAAAATGTTTTTTTTTAATCAAGCCTGTCTAGCCACTTACTGATTGAGGTAAAAGCCACGGGTGGAGGCCGTGATGCTCACATGGCGATCTTCCATCGTGATGACATACAGGTACATGAGGTCTCCGTGCATCTTGCGGTTGCCGGGAGGAGGATTCCAGCCACTCATGGTCAATACTTTTAGGCACTGTAGAGGCTTTGGGGGGAGGGGGGAGGGGGATGGAGTGGGAAAAGAAAGAGGTCTGTGCATGTGGAAAGCTAGATTCTCAGGGAGCAGGTGACCCTAGAACATCTGTCTCCCAGCACACTAGTTTTGAATTACAGTGGTACCTCGTTTTGAGTCCGACTCGTCGAGCGTCCGCGACAAACCCGGAAGTACCGGAACAGGTTACTTCTGGGTTTGATGCTCGCACATGCGCAGAAGCGCTAAATCGTACTTCGCGCATGCGCAGAGCGGCGCTTTGTCGTGCGTCCTTTCCGTCTAGCATCCGGGGCTCCGGAACAGATCCCGGTCGCAAAACAAGGTACTGTACTGTTATATACACTAGTGGCCAAAATTGTGGAAACCTTTTGGGGAAAAGTCTTATTTCTGAGATCTGATGGCTCATAACACCACTTCTTTGGGGAGTAATACCATAAAATTATGTATCAATGGAAAGGTAATTAAATGAAGAATCTAATGCCACGAAGTTTGTTCAATTATCTGTATTTTATCAAAGGTTATAGCCAAATAACCAGAAAAACGAAGCACAATTGCTCAGCTTGATACGCAGCAGCTTTCCTTGATTTGAATGTAGCCAATGAGCATGAGTGTGTAGAGAGCCAATCAGGTGCCATTGGCAATGATTCAATCAGGGGGTTGGACTAGATGACTCTCAGGGTCCCCTTCCTATGAGACACTGAAACGGGCCACAACTCCCGAGGGTTTCAAGCCAGGGAGTCCTTCTAGCTGGGGACAGAACCTGGGACCAAGCAGATACTCTGCCCCCGAGCTATGATCATCTGGGGGGGGGGCATGAGGGGGCAGGCAGGTGGATGTCCTGCCATTGGGAAGGCGCTGGCCCAGGTGGGGGAAGCCTGGTGCTTCCCCCTGCTCAGTTCTTAGGTCTCTACCTTCCAGTCTCTGTTCTGAGGCTGAAGGGGGCAGAGGGGCCGCTCTTTACTCCCCGGCAGGATATGTTCAGGAGGGGTACAATCGATCTGCTCCAATTCTGCGCCCTTCTTCTTCCTCTTGCCACTGTCTGGAACAAAGCACAGGGGAACAGGAGAGCAGTCAGCGCAATCAAGAGGCAACCTTTGCAGGGGAGAAGCAAAATCGTCACCTTTTTTGCATTGGGGCTGGGTGTGGGAAGAAAAGACCATGAGGTGTAGAGCAGGCGTAGGCAAACTCAGCCCTCCAGATGTTTTGGGACTACAACTCCCATCATCCCTAGCAAACAGGACCAGTGGTCAGGGATGATGGGAGTTGTAGTCCCAAAACATCTGGAGGGCCGAGTTTGCCTATGCCTGGCTTAGAGACTTGCTTCGTGACACAAGCTCATTCTCGGGACCCTGAATTAAAACACCCAATGCTTACTCCTAAGACAGGCTTCCTCAGACTTGGCTCTCCAGATGTTTTGAGACTACAGTTCCCATCATCTCTGACCACTGGTCCTGCTAGCTAGGACCCTTGCCTTTGGCCATGCCTGCTGGGAGTTGTAGTTCAGCAAGAACCAGAGGGGCAAAGGTTCCCTGCCACCTGCATTAGTTCCAAGAGGTGGGAAAGCTGCAGTTCTCCAGAAGATATAGGACTACAACTCCCATCACCCAGTGCTGTCTCGGTTGATGCATTCTGGGAGTCTAGCAGCACCCTAAGGTTACCAATTCTCAGTCCTTGTTCCGGAACTTGAGTTACGCCCCTTCAGACAACAGCTCACATGCCAGAATGCGCTTCCTTAAGAAACAAAAGCTTCCCTTCTATATTTGTTGCAGTCAAACCAACAATTCATGCTTTACCAGATAGGCACCTGAAGGGGAAGGGGCTGAGGCTCATAGAGCTTTCCTGTAAACTTGCTAGAGGGAACTCCATGAGGTCACTTCCCCTTTGAATCTTGACAGGAAGAGCATGCTAACTATAGATGCACGAACACTTTCCAACTATGTCTGCAACGTGAGAACATCTAACTCTGAGCCCCAGCTCAGACTCCATTTTTAAGCTAGACTTCTGTATGTCTTAGTAAATCCATTACACACTTTAAGCCTGCCTGCACCAAATTGCTGTATCTTGATATTATTCAAGACCTATACTGAGTACGCATACTGAGTAAATGTTATATTTTAAGGGGTGAAGGGAGGGGGGTAATGCCAGGAAAATCCAGTCTGCCTTAAAACATCCAGGATTACCAATATACTTAAAAGCTAAAACTAGCCTATCCAAACTTGCCTTTAAGCTGCAAAGGGATGGAACTCTGCTGAGCTCACTAAAGTGTGGAAGTAAGCATAATATCTAATAAATGCATATTCTCCTAGCATCTAATCAAATCCCAACACATTCCCCCCTTGGTCCAAGACAGGGTTTCTCAATTGTGGGTCTCCTGCTGTTTTTTGGACTACAAATCCCATCATCCCTAGCTAGCAGGACCGGTGGGTCAGGGATGATGGGACTTGTAGTCCAAAAACAGCTGGAGACCCACGATCAAGAAACCCTGACCTTGCTTAACAGGCCACGGGAGCACAAAGCAAAGCATCGCCTCCCGAAACAGAAGCAACAGGCAAACCACGACCCCTCTGTCTCTTGCGTACCTCCAAGGTCCCCTTCGGTGAAGACGGTGAGGAACGACAAGGAGTTGCAGTCGACGCCGTTGAAAGCGTCCGAGGGGTCGAGGCTCTTCAGGAGGTCTCGGATGTGGCGGACGTGTATTCTAGCTTCTCGGACTGTGTAGGGTTCTGGGAAGGTTTGGGGGTTGCAAGGAGAGGAGGAGAAGGGGCAGGGGAAAGAAAAAGAAAAAAGGATTGAGGAGCATGCCGGGTTTCATACGGAGTCCCGTGTCCAGTTCTGAGGGCTGCACTTTCTGAAGAACCCGAGGGATGCGTGGCTGACCCGGTGAGCTTGATGGCAACATGGGGGGCGTGAAGGCAGGTTTCTACAGCCCTAGTCCAGCAATGTTAAACTCAAGCCACCCCCCCCAACCTACAAATGATGTTCTGTTCCAGCCCTCATGAGCCCCAGCCAGAAGAACCAATGGCCATGGGTTTCTTACTTATGGCTGGAACTTTTGCTGGTTGAATAGCGTTGGGTAGGACCTGGGTTCAAGACCTCCCCCAGGCTTCAAGCTAACTTGGGTGACCTTGGGGGCCCGTGACTGTCTCTAACCATTCTGTCCTAGGTATGCACTTAGGAGAAAAATATGATGTTTGAAAAGCTGCTTTTAAGTAGGCTTCCTTTTTAGGATTTCTCCTCTGTGGGCAGCAACTTCACTCCTAATCTTGGCTCCTTTCCCATGAATGAGTACTCCACAGATGGGCCAAGGCAGCGCTTGAAGGAACCGTCTTTATATCAGGGGTGGGCAACTATGAGACCCTGGCCCAAATCTGGCCCGTACTGTATTCAGTCCTTGGCTATCTCTGCTGCATTTCCACATTTCTCCCTGCCCAGTGTAGTAGCCAAGCAGGTTGCCTAAGGAGGAACAGCTCAGTGTGTGCAAATGGCTGGGTCAAGGTCTGTTGCATGGCTGCGCAGTGCTTAGCTTTTTTTTTTTTTAAAAAAATATCAGTTTAAAGATATTTTAACAATACAAATCCAACGTTACAATTAACAGGAATAGTTCGACTTCCTCCCTTCTGAGGTTCCCTTATATTATTTTAATTACTGACACTGCATTTTCTTCATTATTCCAGTTATTAGTTCATCCTTGATTTCTCCTTGAATTTCATTCTGTTTGGTTTTAGTTAACTCTGCTAATTAACTTATATATGTGTGCAATAACCTTTCGAAGAATCCACAGGTTCCCCCCAGTCTCTGTACAATGTTTAGAGGCTAGCAGCTTAGCTTTCTTTCCTCCAGATAAAGTGAGCTGGACCTTACAACTGATGAAACCTTATTGGACACTATTAGGTCCGTGAAAAGGAGCTCGTATTTGGGCATGTGGGTGTGTAAATGGGTGCAGGAGAGTGGTGTATGAATTGAGAGAGAGTAGGGATGAAGAGGCAAACCTAGACTGCATCTTAAAAAGCAAAGACATCACCTTGCCAACAAAGGTCCATATTGTTAAAGCCATGGTTTTCCCAGTAGTGATGTATGGAAGTGAGAGCTGGACCATAAAGAAGGCTGATCACCGAAGAATTGATGCTTTTCAATTATGGTGCTGGAGGAGACTCTTGAGAGTCCCATGGACTGCAAGAAGATCAAACCTCTCCATTCTGAAGGAAATCAGCCCTGAGTGCTCACTGGAAGGACAGATCATGAAGCTGAGGCTCCAATACTTTGGCCACCTCATGAGAAGAGAAGACTCCCTGGAAAAGACCCTGATGTTGGGAAAGATGGAGGGCACAAGGAGAAGGGGACGACAGAGGACGAGATGGTTGGACAGTGTACTTGCAGCTACCAGCATGAGTTTGACCAAACTGCGGGAGGCAGTGGAAGACAGGAGTGCCTGGTGTGCTCTGGTCCATGGAGTCACGAAGAGTCGGACACGACTAAACAACTAAACAACAACAACAAGGGATGGAGAAACTCTGGGTATGTTGTAAGCCACCCTGGGATCTTTGAATGAAGGGTGGAATACAAATTTGATTAATTAAATAATAATAATAAGAGCCTCATGTTGTGAGGATACTAATGGAGAGGGGCCCAATGGCAACAGCATCAGTTGCTGTGAGTCTTATTCCAACAGCATCTAGGATACCACAGTCTCCCTACCTGGAATTTATAGGTAGCCCCCTGTTTTAAGAACTTTCCTGCCATGCATCGGAGGCTGAAAATGTTCTCCCAAGTTTTACCTTCAACTACTTTTAACACGGAGCCTTCTTGCAACCCTTCAATGGTTTTCAGCTCGGCAAAGTTGTCCAGGACGTTGCCGTCCAGCTGCAGGGAGAAGCACGTTCGGTGACAGGTGTCCTCGCGGTCCATCAGCACCTGGTGGATTTCCTGCACCATCTCTTGGGGGGATACCTTGAAAGAGAAGCCAGGACACAGAGGTTACATATACTTATTTTTTTTATAAAGGGAAGAACGGTATCAACTCAAACCGGCTTACAAAAAAGGTTCATCGCACATGAAACAAAAACGACAAACTTATTAAGGTGCACTTAGGTTGTACAAAACAAACACGGGCTTTTAGTGTCGCAGTTCCAGCCCTCTGGAATCAGCTCCCAGTTGAAATTAGGTAGGCATTGAGTGTCAGGACGTTTAGGCATCTACTGAAGACTTTTTTTTTGCTTAAGGAGGTTTTCCCTGGAGGGGAAGGTCATTTATAAAATATTTTAAAAGTTAAAAGGGAAGAAGAGTTTTGTTCTCCTTCCTTAGAGAACTCCACAGCTTTTGAACTAGCAGTGAGAAGACCCTGTCTCATTTCTCCCTCTTGCCCTGCACTGCTTGTTCTCACTGCCAAGGGGCCTTCAGGCAGACACCTGCTCCCATCATCTACTCCCTGAAGTTTTTTGTTTTGGTCCTGGAGGTGTCAGAGAACCTGGGACCTTCTGCATGCAAAGCAGGGGCTCTAACCACTGAGATAGGGGGTTGCTCCAGACCTCCCTTTACAGTGCATTCTGGATGGTTTGTGCTTATGGTCGCATCCAGGCAGTTATGCATGGATCTGCTACCCATACCACTCTGTACCTGCAAACGTTTTGGTGCAGGCACACAGCTTCGTTCCCATTTGGTACATACCCCAGAGCTTTGTTTTGCCTTCTGGTTCCCACTTTTCTTGTGCCCCTCTGTAAATCTGGGAAAGCACTGCAGAACCACTAACAAACTAGAATGATATGTGGATGCCCCAGTATAAACCCATCACCAATTGTTGCACTACTGTCGCATCAATGGCATCTTGCAAAATACACCCACGCACACACACAAAAACCACCCACCACTCCATGGGCAGGCAAACTAAGGCCTGGGGGCCGGATCTGGCCCAATCGCCTTCTAAATCCGGCCCGCAGACGGTCCGGGAATCAGCGTATTTTTACATGAGTAGAATGTGTCCTTTTATTTAAAATGCATCTCTGGGTTATTTGTGGGGCATAGGAATTCATTCATTTTTTCCCCCTTCAAAATATAGTCCGGCCCCCCACAATGTCTGAGGGACAGTGGACCGGCCCCCTGCTGAAAAAGTTTGCTGACCCCTGCACCCGTCCATAGCAACCCGACAGTCACCCCCCCCCCCAAATGGCAGGGGTCCTTATACTGCCTTCCTACTTTATGTTCCTGAATGCACAGTTTGACTCCAGTTTCCTGGGGTTCCAGGGTACATCACTACTGGGAACAAAAAAAGACTGCGTACAACAAAACAGTTTGTCTGCCCCACAGCCTGCTTTTTACACGTTTCAGCTGCGTGTGCCACGAGGCTGTGTATCAAGCCCTCTGCACGTTCCCCAGGGAAGCTGGAACAGACTCTTCCTCTTATCACCACCACCACCACCAAAAATAGAAATAAAAATAGAACCCTGCTAGGAATTGCCTGATAAATGCTATCACCGGACAAAGGCCACCCAGACTGATCAGGTTAAGCTCCTAGATTGGAGGTGGTTTATAGTAAGCTGTTGCTGCTGTTGCTGCAGAAGCAGGACACTGGCTAATCTAAGCTTATTTTGGAACCAGCAGAAGCAGCACTTTGAAGAGAAAAGCAATTCCTCCCTCTGCCCCGTGTGTGCCTCAGTTTCCCTTGCAAAGGCTGCTTCACTGACATTCTCCTCCCCGCCCACAAGGGCAGCCTGGGAAGAGAGAAAAGAAGCTCAGGGACATTTTTTTAAAAAAAGTAATTTTATAAGTTATGTGTCCTTGTTTCTCAATTTGATCCTTTCACGTGGTTTTGTATGTTTTGCGGTATGTAATGCATTGTGACTTGCCGTTAATCCTAAAGAATTGCTAAACTATAAATCGAGAGAATTAACTATTATTTGCCGATATTTAATTTTACTTTACTATTATATTCCAATGGATTATGGAATATTGCTTTATTTGATTTAAGTTATTCTTATTTTAAAGTTATTGTGACTTTTTGTATTAGATCAGATTGTCAATATTAACGTTTGATTTTTTAAAATTATGTTTTATATGTGTTGGAAGCTGCCCAGAGTGGCCGGGGCAACCCAGCCAGCTGGGCATGGTATAAATAAAACAACAACTATTAGAGGAGGGAGAAAGGTTGTTTTCTGCTGCTCCAGAGAAGCGGACACGGAGCAATGGATCCAAACTACAAGAAAGAAGATTCCACCTAAACATTAGGAAGAACTTCCTGACAGTAAGAGCTGTTCGACAGTGGAATTTGCTGCCAAGGAGTGTGGTGGAGTCTCCTTCTTTGGAGGTCTTTAAGCAGAGGCTTGACAACCATATGTCAGGAGTGCTCTGATGGTGTTTCCTGCTTGGCAGGGGGTTGGACTCGATGGCCCTTGTGGTCTCTTCCAACTCTATCATTCTATTATTATTATTATTATTATTATTATTATTATTAGGTGTGTTTATGCAGTTACTATCAGCAGTGCATGGATCTTAAACCTATAAGTTCACATGAGCCTTCCAGATGTCCAAATAGGTATCCACACAAAATCGATGCATATATTATTATTATTATTATTATTATTATTATTAGCACCACCACCACAACCGCTACTACAATTTAATACCCGTTCTTCATTCTGAATACGAAATATGTTCAAATGCAGCCAGGGCAGTACTTTCCTCAGTCTACTGCATAATAGATGGATGCAGCCAACCTGAGATGCTTTAAGCTGAGTTTCATAGAATCTGGAATTGCAGAGGTGGAAGGGACCCTGAGGATCATCTAGTCCAACCCCCTGCAATGCAGGAATATGCAGTTGTCCCATACGAAGACCAAACCTGCATATTTACTCTTTCCAGGCTCAAAGCCTAAGTCTCTTCTAAGCCACCACTAAGGGCTGGCAGGCCAGATCTACCTGCAGGGTAGTCACCCCCTGGCTCCAGAAGATGGGCTCCCCTCAGAGATCTGCTTGCTCTCTCACTCACCTGAGCTCTTGACCAAGTTGAGGACACTTGGAGGCACCCAACACAAATGTCAAAATGGCAGCAAACCAGGTTAGCCACCCAGGGCTTAAGCAATTGGGATCCAAGGCAGCTTTCCCCAATGTAGTAGCCTACAATGTAGTAACCTACAATGTAGTAGCCCTTAATCAGGGTTTCCCAAACTTGGATCTCCAGCTGTTTTTGGACAACAGCTCCCATCATCCTTAGCTAGCAGGACCAGTGGTCAGGGATGGTGGGAACTGTAGTACAATGGTAAGGTAAAGGTAAAGGGACCCCTGACCATTAGGTCCAGTCATGACAGACTCTGGGGTTGCAGCGCTCATCTCGCTTTATTGGCTGAGGGAGCCAGCGTACAGCTTCCGGGTCATGTGGCCAGCATGACTAAGCCGCTTCTGGCGAACCAGAGCAGCGCACGGAAACGCCATTTACCTTCCTGCCAGAGTGGTACCTGTTTATCTACTTGCACTTTGATGTGCTTTCGGACTGCTAGGTTGGCAGGAGCGGGGACCGAGCAACGGGAGCTCACCCCATCGCGGGGATTCGAACCACCGACCTTCTGATTGGCAAGTCCTAGGCTCTGTGGTTTAACCCACAGCGGCACCTGCATCCTTGGGTTACAGACACTTTAGGTTACAGACTCCGCTAACCCAGAAATAGTACTTCGAGTTAAGAACTTTGCTTCAGGATGAGAACAGAAATCGTGCTCTGGCGGCGCGGCAGCAGTGGGAGGCCCCATTAGCTAAAGTGGTACCTCAGGTTAAGAACAGTTTCAGGTTAAGAATGGACCTCCGGAACGAATTATGTTCTTAACCCAAGGTACTACTGTACAAAAAACAGCTGGAGACCTGAGTTTGGGGAAACAGTGACCTACATGTTGTTCGACTTCTGCTCCCATTAGCTCTGACCTGCATGGACAATTGTCAGGGATGATGGGAATTGTAGCCCAGCATAATTTAGAGGGTACCCTATCGGGGAAGACAGATTCGGAGGCAATAACAGCAACAGCAATGAAACACAGCAGTCCCAATTTGTACACCTGGAGAGGAAGGGAGGCCAGCCAAGGAGATTTAGACCCGAAGTACTTCCAGAGACACTCACTTGCAGGGGGAAAGGTTCGACTGCCGGCGCATGGACTTTGACCGTAAAACCGGTGTCCTGGATGACGATAACCTCTTGGTCGTTCCCATCGTCTGCGTGGTCTGTTTCTTCGTGGCCGTTCTGCCTGGTCTCGTCGTTGTGGTTCTCGTGCAAGCCGTCACCATTCATCAGGGTTATGCTGGGCGGGGGTTGCTCTAGCCAAAAAGAAAGGGAGACCAATTTAGGTTTTCGCCAGCTGGAGACCCTAAAGGACACTGATACAGACAGTGGTCTCGGTTTTCTGGAAAAGTAATACAGTCATATCTTGGCTCCCAAATGCCACAAACCTGCAAGTGAGTGTTCTGGTTTGTGAACATTCTTTGAACTCGAAGCTGCACTTTGGTTTCTGAACATTTTGGAAGTCAAACGTACTTCTGGAACAGATTCCATTCGACTTCCAAGGTACGGCTGTAGTTTCCGCTGCCCTAAACCACATGGGATCGGGAGCCTCAACTAACTTCTCTCCCAACAGTCAGAAATATTGGAACAGAAACACCCGATTATGAAAACACCAGATAAAAGCGTCATCGACATGAGTTTAAATGCTGCATTTTCCAGTTCTGAAAATGTCCAAGGCAGGACCATTCAAACAACAATTCAACCTCTGTCTTCCCAACCTCCTCCTCGCCCTTAGTCTCAGTGCTGCCCTTGCAGAAATCAGCAGGGAGGATGGGGGACAAAACAGGAATTAGTTGAATCTGCTTGCCGTTGGCTCTGGCGCCACCTACTGTTGGCCTCCCTCCCTTCCATCCAATGGGTACCAGACACACTGCCCACTAAACTACACTTCCTATGAAACAGCACAAATCCTGGCACAGCAAGGAGAGGGAGGGAGAAGCTGAAACCAAGTCTCTTGCCTTCCCACATTTCACAAAAGCTCACCTGGGTGTGGGTCGCCGGCAGGAGATCCCAACTTGCCACAGGGAACCAGGCTCGATTGTGACAGCACACGCCTTGGTGGTTCACAAGCTGAAAACACAGCTCCCGAGCTGCACTAGGCCAGGAGCCCGGGTGCAAATTCCACTCGGGTTCTCCCTCCCCATCCCCTTTTCAAGCTGGTGCTTACGAGAAAGTCACGTTTGGCCTTATCTCTCTTTTTCCCTTGCCCAAATGAGCAACGCCCTTTTCTCTGCCTGAGGCAGGGGACATGCCTCAAGAGGGGAAAAACACAGGCAACCAACAGAGTAGGACTGTACACCAGGGGTCAGCAAACGTTTTCAGCAGGGGGCCGGTCCACTGTCCCTCAGACCTTGTGGGGGGCCAGGCTATATATTTTTTTTGGGGGGGGGAATGAACGAATTCCTATGCCCCACAAATAACCCAGGGATGCATTTTAAATAAAAGCACACATTCTACTCATGTAAAAACACACTGATTCCCGGACCGTCTGCGGGCCGGATTTAGAAGGCGATTGGGCTGGATCCGGCCCCCGGGCCTTAGTTTGCCTACCACACAGTAAAGGCACATTTAAAGCACCCAAAACAAGAACCCTGGGAAGTGTAGTTTACCTCTCACAGAGCTACAACTCCCGGCACCCTTAACACAGGACGTTTTCCAGGATTCTATTTTTTGGGGGTAGGAATGGAGTGGGGAGTGCTTTAACTGAATGGTTAAAAGAAAAAAAAGGCAAAAATGCAGGGAGGGAGTGGATTGCAATTCTCCCCCCCTTTTTTTTTGAAGAGTAAGAATCATTCACAGTACAAGTATGAAGAGACTTATTTAACTAAAATCACCAGGCGCTGGGCGTAGGCAGAGCTGCAGAGCCCAGAGGCATCTTCCTGCAGAGGAGCTGCCAATGGCACGAAAAGTGATTGTTACCTTGATAATCTTCCTTCCTCCCGCGCATGCAGGAAGGGAGGGAGAGCAGAGAGACTTGTGCTGCCGCAGTTCTTTCCCTCCCTGCCCCCTGAACACCACACATATGGTTCCTTAGCTTGCAAAGACAGAGGCTTAGGGGACTCTGGCGACTTTGAGGAGTTTAAAGTCGGAAGGCAGGACTTATTCTCACGCTAGGTACCAGAGCGTGCGGAAGGGAGGCGGAGAGAAAGAGAGGCCGTGCGACCAAGCAAGTAGGCGTGCCTTTTGAGAAGCGGCGTCCCTTTCAGCGCCACGGGAGCAGAGTTCAATTCCCAAGTCGTGCAACTTAAATAAACTTTGCACAACTTTGCAAAATTCAAGCAAGTAAGGCAAAAGAAAAAGAAAGAAAGAGGTATTACACAGCCCACCCCCCATGGCCACTAGAGGTTCTAATTCGCACACTGAGGACTGGAAACTTGCTGCATATTGTAGAGTTCTCAGGATGCTTCTTTCCTGCTGCCAATTCTGCATTTATGTGACGCTCGCGGGAGACACACAGTCCTGCCAATCAATGGCCCAACTATTCTTCTTCTTTTCAAATCGTATCCTCCCTGGCAACCAGATTGGGAGCTTGTGGCGAATGCGAGTCTCAGTGCTTCCTAATGCAGCTTACAACAAACACACCCAAGGGCAACTGACAGGCCAACACACAACATCAAAACCTCCGGGCTTCCCACTAGGGCAACTGGTTAGCGACTGAGATCAGGATGCTGGACCAGACGGGCCTTTAAGTCCGATCCATAAAGGCTATACTCATGTTGCAACACAATTCTGCCCTCTTACATTCTACAGCAGCTTGGGGCTACCACCGAGAAGTCCCTGCCTTCAGCAAATGCCGACTCAACTTCTGAATAGTCTCGGATAATCATTTGCATAAGGGTTGAGGACAGCACAAATGATTTGGACGCTGAAGTTCCAGATTCATCCCCCTAGCACATCTGCAAAAGATGCCAGTTAAATCCTATTTTAGTTGCAAAAAAGGAGATTCTGAGTAAACATCCATTCCATTCTATACCCACGGCCTTCCTGCAGGGGATCTACTCCAAGACCCCTATTACTCAGCGTCTATGTCCATGCACAATGAATGAAGTAGAGGACTTCATACATTTCTTTTTCTACTGCCCTATTTATGAGACAATAAGAACTAAGCTCCTCCTCTTGATCCCGTCCACCATCACATCTAAGGAAGACTGTTTGAAATCGCTTCTTGTGGACGCAAATCCCCAAATTTCACGTGGGGTGGCAATCTTCATAGTGCAGGCTTTGAAACTCAGGGCTACTCTGACGGGGTAGTGTGTCCTAGACCTGGACCTGTTTTAATTCTTTTTATTACCTTTTTATTACCTTTTAACCTAATGTACCAAGCCTATTTTGGGGCCATTATATGCTTTATATACATCCGGCGCTGGCAACTAAACCTTTACATTATTGTCCTAGGGTAATTTAAATTTAAATGTCATAACGTCAGTAATATCGCTTTGAATTTTGTTTGGTTGTTTGTCTCTAGCATTTTTGTCCTATCCTGCTATGGCTGTATGCTAATGCAATAAAGGTTTGATTGATTGAGTAAACATCAGGAAGACGCTGCAGCCAATCGGAAGCTGCGGAAGCTCCGCCAGACACTCAGCTTCCAAAAGAACGTTCAAAAACCGGAACATTCACTTCCGGGTTTCGATCGTTTGGGAGCCAAAACGTTTGAAAACTAGGCTGTTCAAAAACCAAGGTACGACTGTATTGTATCTGGACTGCGACACAATCGGTCGTTTGCTGCCCTGGACTCCTAAATAGGATGAAAGAGGGTATGCAGAGATCTTCAATAAATAAGATAAAGGAAGGGGGATTTTATGTGGGTGAAAAGGCATGCGGCACTCCTTTAGGCAAAAACCAGCGGTGCTCAATCTAGGGTGGTGAAGCAGACCAGCACCCATCTCCTTGCCAAAAAGGACAAACACCGTGAAGCCAGAAATTGCAACACAGCAAGATCAAAGGGCAATCATATGAAGGAGGGGGTACCTTTGTCCTGTAAGTTTGGGAAGGGAGAGGGAAGAGCAGGAGAGACAGAAGAACGGCTTGCAAGGCAACATCCTTCCCAGAGATCTCTCTCAGCCCCCCCCAATTTAAAATGAACAAACTCCAGACCCTGAATAATGTTCCTTCATTCCAGGACCGTTTCCTACAGAGGGAAGTTTCAGACGATGTGGAAACACCGCGAACTTTTGCACAACAGCATTCCTGCACAGGGGTTGGAATACTTAAAAATCCATTGCACAACCGATTTCCACAGCTATCCTATCACATCCCGAGAGTTCAGAGGGACCCCCTCTGCATGTCCATTTCGGCTCTGCTCAGTTTCTCAATCTTCCAACCTTCTCTTCAGTTCCCTACATATGGTTGTGGCTTTAAAAAAAAGTTCCCATGGAAATTCACGAGCATCTTAGCGCCAAGTCATCCCAACACAGGCAGCGAGCAATTTACGCGCAATCCAATCGACCTGTGACCTTGCACACGCGCATCGCCGCAACCTGAAAGTGGCCAGAAGGGAGGAGGCAGAATGGGCTTATGCGATTGCATGCAGGGCTCAGGAACATAACCGCCACACACAAAGGTTGTTGCCTGCGTACATCTTTCTGCAAAGCCGTTTCCCTTAACCTAATTGTCAGGGAACTGCCATCAGCTAATGGGCGAGGGGGGGAAAGGCGGATGGATAACAGAGAGCCCCTAAAGATCGTGGGAAGCAGCACTTCCTCAGCGGAGGAAGGAAGCCACGCCTCTAGTGGGGAGGAGCTTCTGGGCTCGGAGGATGCAAGGCGGTGCCAGGACACCTTGCCTGAGCAAAGCGGGGAGGAGGGAGGTCCCCCGTTACCCAAGCCTTCCTTGCACAGTAGGCTTTCACGCAGAGAGGGGAGGCGTAGGCTGGGGGTCAAGAGACTACTCTGCTGGGGAAGATTTAAGGACCGCCCACTCTCAGATTCTGCTAGTGAATGAGCAAGACATGGAATAGAGGTGCTCTGCATTGTAAAGGTTTTTAGCACCAATAATAAAGCTTTAGAACAGACCAGTGAGGCATCTTGCCTGATTGCTCTCGAGCAACCACCCAATAGCCTTAACACTAATGCACTTGTGTTGATTTCATTAATAGCTGGGTGTGTTGGTTTCAGCAGTACATGCGTTTCCATGTGCATTGTACCACAACAGATGCATTTTTGTACACACTGGCAGATTTGAAAAATTCATAGGAACACGAATCTCTAAGGGTGACTTTAGTTTCACAAATTGTTTCAGCCAGCATGAGTTAGGT